AAAAAAAAAAAAAAAAAAAAAAAAAAAAAAAAAAAAAAAAAAAAAAAAAAAAAAAAAAGAAAACATTTGGTGCGTTTTTACTGACGCAAGGCGACATTTTACAAATTTCTTAATTAATTGGTTTATCTACGGGCTTTTAGCATTACTGCCGCGCGATGCACATTGAGCATTGCCCCAAGTATAAACGTGAGATTCCGAGCGGTACTTGCGGTGCGAGGTAAAAAAAAAAAAAATGTGCGTTGCCCGAAAAGAGATGATCCACTGCCGAAACGATAACGCACCTAACTAGCTAATAATTCTAAGCCACGAACCTTGGCAGGCTCAATCACATGATCGCTAATGACGCGAAATAAGTGTATTCGCCTCAAAAGTAAGTACACCTGATGCGCACCTATAAGTATCTATGGGTCTAAAGTACCTTGGATTTTCAAGACCGTCGCCCACCTGTAAGTTGCACGTTATACGTACACATGCATGTACTTACTTAAGATAGAGTGCGGCATAATGTTGTATTGTAAGGATAACCATCAGCCAAGTGAGTGAGCGAGTTATTGTTGAATCTCGATTGTAAAATTGGTTTACCCTTTGGCCAATCCAATTGAGATTACCGAATTAGGCGGTGTAGCGGCAGCTATACGTCGGTGCGTATAAGTAGTATACCTATGTTATTTGCCGCCTTTGCACTACTGTGTTTCAATTCCGTGCAATTGTCGCGGCCTCGATCTCGCGCAGTGCGCGCACTCTTCACAGCCAAGCACCATACAAGTGTGTGTATATATATATATATATATATATATATAATATTATTATTACTCATGTATAACGAATCATAGTAGCGACCACGGCAATTACTTTTTCTTTGTCCCGCCCAACTTTCACGTGCCAAGCACTGCCATACAATACTCATAAATATAGTCACGAGTGTTCGGACTTACTTTTTTCCGCCTCTTTTGCTTGCGATGGTAAAATATAATATTTATCTTAAGATGCGGCAGAGGGAGAAAAATTTTGTATAAATCGGTGTTGAAGCTGACGAGAGCTGTACGCGTATACTTATACATATACGGACTGTCGTTTGCTCAATTTGTAAAACAATTCACGACATTCCAAGTTGTTGATACGTACACACGTGAACTTTTTTTTTTTTTTTTTTTTTCGCGGAACTGAATTACTTTGAATTGCTTGCAAGTTGCTTTGAAGAAAAGAAAAAAAATGACAAGATGATGGGAATCCATAATTCATGCCTCATTCGAAGGAAATAAATACGCGATCTATCTATTACAACCAGTGGCTATATATATAATAACCTACCTACCTGTACTGCACTACTCACATTCGCCGCAAATCCGGAAACATAAATACGACATTATTAATAAGTACGAGCATAGCCCAAGACTTGAAATTGACAACACGCAAATCAGCCGTGTACCTACTTACGTCGCTCTTCGCGAGCCAACCAACCGCTGGACTGCTCGCTCGATGCGCTTAATTTGCGTTACATTCACCTATACCTACTTATGTACCTGCACGCGAAATTAAATTCGTATGTGATGTTGGACGAGCCGCACCGACAGAATCTCAATTTTTTACTTTTATTTTTGAAAAAAAAAAAAAAAAAAAAATTGCCATAATATTCAGCATTGGTTATACATGGTCATTACTCATAATATATACATTATATATGATGAATGGAACAGCAGAAGATGCAAGGGACATGAACAACTCTTTTTTCTAACGTATACTTAATATAATTATGGTGTACCTACCTACCTACCCGTTGGCACGTGAATACCTATAATTGACAAGTATGTGGGTTATTTGCTTACATGTTTTAGTCTGCTGTCCACGCGAGGCTTTCGAGTCCAACTACTTGACCAAAATCACGTATTCACACGTATTACCCAGGTTGTTCCGTCGGAGGCAGCATCAACGTATATAGCACAGGAGCGTTAGCCAAAGTCAAAGTTTGAATAATCGCCATCAGTCACGGCCAATATGCCCGCCAGGTTCGACAGCATGAACAGCCCGCCCGTGCGCGAGCCGATCGTCGCCAATGGCCCGCTGTACAGCCTCGACGACGACATCGTCATCTCGGGAATGTCTGGTGCGTATTGCGTTTTATCACTTATCCACGCGAAATTTCAAACAATCGCCTGGGAGAAATCGACGAATGTCAACAACTATTAATGACGCAGGTCGGCTGCCCGAGTCGGCGAACATCGAGGAGTTCAAGCAGCAGCTGTTCGAGGGCGTCGACCTCGTGACGGACGACGACCGGCGCTGGCCCCCGGGCCTCTACGGGCTACCCACGCGCTCCGGCAAGCTCAAGGACCTCGCCTCGTTCGACGCCACCTTCTTCGGTGTCCACGCTAAACAAGCCACGGTCATGGACCCCCAGCTCAGGATGCTCCTCGAGCTCACCCACGAGGCCATACTCGACGCGGGCATCAATCCCGCCGAGATCAGGGGCACCAAGACCGGGGTGTACATTGGGGTCTCCGACTCCGAGTCCGACGAGTTCTGGACCGAGGACCCCGACAAAATCAACGGTATATATAACGTCCCCTTTTTTGTTTTTCCCATTTCACTTGTACACATTAATATACATATAGATTAATTATGGCTGCAAATACATTATTGCAGGTTACGGCTTGACGGGCTGCTGCCGAGCCATGTTCCCGAACCGGCTCTCGTACACCTTCGACTTTAGTGGTCCGAGCTTCGCCCTCGACACGGCCTGCTCGTCGTCCATGTACGCACTGCACCACGCGATCATCGCCATGCGCACCGGCCAATGCGACGCGGCCATAGTCGGCGGGGTCAACCTTCTCCTCAAGCCCACGAGTTCTCTCCAGTTCCACAGGCTGAGCATGTTGTCGCAGGACGGCGCCTGCAAGGCCTTCGACGCCTCCGGCAACGGTTACGTCCGCTCCGAGGCGGCTGTCGTTCTTTACCTGCAAAAGTCGCGCGACGCCCGCCGCGTCTACGCCACCGTTGTCAACTCGCGCGTCAACACGGACGGCTTCAAGGAGCAGGGCATCACGTTCCCCAACGGCGCCATGCAAAACAGACTGATGCGCGAGGTGTACGCCGAGGTCAACGTCAATCCGGCCGACGTGGCCTACGTCGAGGCTCACGGCACGGGCACCAAGGTCGGGGATCCCCAGGAAGTCAACTCGATCGCCGAGCTCTTTTGCAAGGACAGAAAACCCACGACGCCCCTGCTGCTGGGCTCGGTCAAATCCAACATGGGTCACTCGGAGCCGGCCAGTGGTCTTTGCTCCATCGCCAAGGTCCTCCTGGCCATGGAACAGGGGGTCATTCCACCCAATTTGCATTACACCAGCCCGAACATGGAGATACCCGCGCTGTCCGACGGTAGTATCAAAGTTATATCCGAGCCAACGTCCTGGAACGGTGGCCTCGCCGCCGTCAACTCGTTCGGCTTTGGCGGGGCCAACGCCCACCTGTTGCTGCGCAGCAATCCCAAGCCCAAGGTCTCGCCGGTCCTCGAAGGTAGCGTTCCCAAGATGCTCGTGGTGTCCGGGAGGACCGAGGAGGCGGTCGGATTTTTGCTCGACGAGGCGCGAAAGAACGAAAAGGACGACGAATTTGTGTCGCTGATGCACAGCATCCACTCGCGAAGCATACCCGGCCATTCGTATCGCGGTTATCAGATCCTCGGAGAAGCTCCGGAGCGCGATATCGAGCTGGTGCACGGCGCCGAGAATAGACCGGTGTGGTACATTTTCTCGGGCATGGGCGCACAATGGGCTGGCATGGGTAAGGAGCTCCTGCCGATCCCGAGTTTTGCCGACAGTTTGCGCCGATGCGCCGAGCCGCTCAAACCCCTCGGTATCGATCTCATGAGTCTCATACTCAACGCCAACGAAAAAACCTACGAGGACGTGCTCAACAGTTTCGTCGCCATCGCGGCCGTACAGGTTGCTCTCGTTGATTTTCTCACTTTGCTCGGCATTCAGCCGGACGGCATCATTGGACACTCGGTCGGAGAAGTCGGCTGTGCCTACGCGGACGGAACTTTCACGGTCGAACAGACTGTTTTGGCTGCCTACTGGAGAGGAAAATCCATCAAGGACTCTAGCTTGCCTACCAATATGGGTAAATTTTTTTTTTTTTTTTTTTTTTTCCAAGCCTTTTGTTGTATCTTTTATAATTTTTGTAAATGACAAATTTCAGGTATGGCCGCGGTCGGATTGAGCTGGGCCGAAGCAAAGAGACGCTGCCCATCAGATGTCTTTCCGGCATGCCACAACTCAGCCGACTCGGTCTCCATCTCCGGGCCTCTGCCGTCCCTCGAAAAATTCATTGCCGAACTCAAGGCCGAAGGTATCTTTGCAAAAGCTGTGAGTAGCTCTGGTGTCGCCTTCCACAGCAAATACATCGCCGATGCTGGACCCAAACTCCGCGCCAGTCTCGAGAAAATCATTCCATCTCCCAAACAGAGAACTCCCAGGTGGATCTCCACGTCTATTCCAGAGAACGCGTGGAATACACCTCTTGCACAACTCAGTTCTCCAGCCTACCACGTGAACAATCTCTTGTCACCCGTACTGTTCCAAGAAGCCTTGACCCGCGTACCCGAGAACGCAATCGTCATCGAAATCGCGCCTCACTGCCTGCTCCAGGCAATCCTGAAGAGATCGCTGCCCTCCACTGTCACCAACGTAGGACTACACAAGAGGGAACACTCGAACAACATGTTATTCTTGTTGACAAATCTTGGTAAAATGTTCAACGCTGGGGCACAGCCGCAACTGGCCAAGTTGTACCCGCCGATCAGTTATCCAGTAGGTCGCGGCACTCCCATGATCGGTTCTCTCGTCAAGTGGGACCATTCGATTCAATGGGACGTCGCTGACTTCTCCGGCAAGTCCAACCGTTCGGGCGAGACCGTCATCGAAATCGATCTATCGAAGGAGCGCGACGCCTACTTGGCTGGACACTGCATCGACGGCAGAGTTCTATTTCCCGCCACTGGTTATCTCACTCTCGTCTGGAAGACCTTTGCCAAATTATGGAACGTCGATCCAGAAAAATTGCCGGTCGTATTGGAAGACGTCAGCTTCCACCGAGCTACGATCATGCCCAAGGAGGGCCCGGTCAAATTTTTGATCAATATTTTTGACGGTAGTGGCGAGTTCGAGCTTTCCGAGGCCAACTCTGTAGCTGTGACCGGTAAGATTCGCGCTCCCGAAAACGTGGAAAAGGAATTGCTGTGTCTGCAGCCCCCGTCTGTTTCCAACGAGCCAGCATTGTTCGAATTAAAGAAGGCCGACGTGTATAAGGACCTGCGTTTGCGTGGCTACGATTACACTGGAGTATTCCAGGGTGTCGTTGGGGCCGACAACCGTGCTGCAGTCGGTAAACTCGCCTGGGCTGGAAACTGGATCTCTTTCATCGACACCATGCTGCAGTTCAGCATACTTGGCAAGAATACGCGCGATCTGTATCTGCCCACTAGGCTTCAAAAAATTGTCATCGATCCCTTGGCTCACGCACAGCTCCTCGAGGGTCTTGGGGAGAACAAAGAAGCTCTGCCGGTATACTCTTATCCCCAAATTGGAGTCATCAAAGCCGGTGGTGTTGAGCTGCGGAATATGAAGGCCTCTCTAGCTCCAAGGAGACAACAAAATCGTGCACCACCCAAGTACGAGCGATACGCTTTTGTGCCGTACGAAAATTCACAGGTATTAGTTGAAGATCCAGAGAAAGCTAAGGTCCATGCCCTCAGTGTATTGTTACAAACTGCCCGAGAAAACTCTGTCGGTGTCAAGTTAAAAGTTGTCGAAGTTGCCGGAGAGAGGAGTGCCGAAGCTGTCTTGGCGCCAATTGTCCTGGATATCTTGTACGGCGAGCCTCAACTTAGTGTAAGTTGAATATTTTTTTTTCCTTTCTTTTTTCTACGCAAGTACCGCTCAAGTAAATTATAAGTACCAAAATTCTTATTACAGGTAGACTATCAGCTGGCTACTGGTTCTCCCGATACATACGCAACAGTTGTCAAGCAGTGCGATATCAAAACTTTAGCAAAGGATCCGCAGACTTCGTCAGTTGGCAAAGATTTGAACATTGTAATAGCAGCTGACGTAATCAGCAATAACAAGACTGCCATCCTAAAGAACCTTGGCGACTCTCTTAAAATAGGTGGTTTCGTCCTTCTTGAGGAAACTGGCTCCGTCACTATGAACATTGTCAAGAAATCTGGCTTAGTTTACGTTGGCAAACAGTTTGTGCCTGGTAAAAGCTACGTGCTGTTGAAAAAAAGCGAAGCAGGACCTGCCGAGCAAATAATCATTCAAATCTCCGAGAAAAACTTTTCTTGGCTCGAGGGTGTAAAGGCGGCTCTCAAACAGTCTGTAACCGAACAGCAGAAAATTTTGCTTGTCAGTCAAGGAGAAGAGACGCTTGGTAAGAAAAAGTTGACTCCTTTCCTCATTCGCTCATTTATTTATTTGTTCGTTGAATGATGTATGGACTTTAAGTTTATTCACTAAAATCACAACAAGGTAGAGATCGAGACTTGAACCTATAGTAATACAACTGTGAATTGCAAATCCGTATTTTTCATTTGATACAAACATACACACGGACAGTTTGAAAAAGAGTTCGAAAGACTTTTAATTACACTTGTATTGAAATTTTACTTTATCGCAGTTGTAATCACTAAATATGTCAATCGAATTACTTGCAGATAACTACTTGAGACAATATATTGATTACTCTTGAAAATTTTGGTTGATTATCTAATCAGAATCGAAAATAATCAAGTTTTCAAGTATCTGTACATTTAAATAAGCTCAATGAGTTGCGACATTGATTACAATCATAAATTTCATGCTCAGGTCTTGTTGGTCTGATGACTTGCATTCGTCAAGAGGATGGCGGCAACAACGTGCGCTACGTTTTTATTCAAGATAAGAATGCACCAAAGTTTTCACTTTCTGATCCCTATTACTCCAAGCAACTCGACAAACAACTAATGGCTAATGTGCTAAAGAACCAGCAATGGGGCTGCTATCGTCATCTGCGGCTCGATCAACAAAGTGATGTATCTTCTCTGCACGTCGAGCACGCGTACATCAATGCTCTCACCAGAGGTGATCTCAGTAGTTTACGCTGGATCGAAGGCCCCCTCAGCTATTACCAACCCGAAAAATTCCCCAACAAAGAGTTTTGCAGCGTTTACTATGCTCCACTCAACTTCCGGTACGATTTTGTTATTATTATATTCCACGTGAATAAAATTCATCTACAATAAATTTTGGCACTGTTACAGTGACATCATGTTGGCCACCGGAAAATTGAACGCAGACGCTCTGCCAGGCGATTTGGCTAATCAAGACTGTATCTTAGGTCTGGAGTTTGCTGGCCGCGATTCGAGCGGTCGCCGCGTCATGGGCATGGTCGCTGCCCAAGGTTTAGCCACGACAGTTCTAGCCGATCCAGGTTTCATGTGGCAGGTGCCGGACAAGTGGTCGCTCGAGGAGGCCGCTACCATCCCGGTCGTCTACGCCACCAGCTACTACGCCCTGTGCGTGCGGGGTGCCATGAAGCGAGGTGATAGCGTCCTTATTCACGCCGGTAGCGGTGGCGTCGGACAGGCTAGTATCGCCATAGCCCTCCACATGGGCTGCACCGTATTCACCACCGTGAGCTCCCAGGAGAAAAGAGACTTCCTCAAAAAGACATTCCCCCAACTGAACGACCGCAATATCGGCAACTCTCGAGACACGAGCTTCGAACAACTCGTACTCATCGAAACCAATGGGCGCGGTGTTGACCTCGTACTCAACTCCCTGGCTGGCGAGCAGCTTCAGGCGAGTGTGAGGTGTCTGGCCAATGGCGGCCGCTTCCTCGAGATCGGCAAATTCGACCTATCTAAGAACACCGGCCTCGGAATGTCAGTCTTTCTGAAGAACACAACCTTCCACGGCATTCTGCTGGACGCGCTCTTTGACACCGACTGTCCCGAAAAGAAGGAGCTCGTTAGACTTGTCAGCAAAGGCATCGAGAGCGGAGCCGTCAGACCGCTGCCCGCCACCGTGTTCAGCGAGCAGCAGATCGAGCAGGGCTTCCGATTCATGGCTACCGGCAAGCATATCGGCAAGGTCCTTCTGAAGATTCGAGACGAGGAGCCCGAAAAAGTCACTCATCCGACTCCCAAGGTCGTCGCCTCGATCCCACGCACCTACATGAACCCCGAAAAGTCGTACGTCCTTGTCGGCGGTCTTGGAGGTTTTGGCCTCGAGCTCGCCAATTGGATGATCACCCGCGGAGCCAAGCACATCGTTCTAACGTCGCGTTCGGGAATACGCACGGGTTACCAGTCGCTCTGCACTCGCAGGTGGCGCGAGGCCGGGGTCAACGTTGTCATCTCCACCGAGGATGTTACAAGTCTCGCTGGTGCCGAGCGACTCATCTCCCAGGCCAGCAGGTGCGCGCCCGTTGGCGGCATCTTCAACTTGGCTGCTGTGCTGAAGGATAACTTTTTAGAGAACCTCGAGGAAAAGGATTTCAAAGCAGTGGCTCTGCCCAAAGTAGACGGAACGAAGAACTTGGACATGGCATCGAGAAAACTATGCCCATCGCTAGACTATTTTGTGTGTTTCTCCTCGGTCTCGTGTGGCAGAGGCAATATCGGCCAAACGAACTACGGTCTGTCCAACTCAGCCATGGAGAGGATCTGCGAGCAGCGGCAAGCTCTCGGCTTGCCCGGACTGGCAATCCAGTGGGGAGCCATCGGTGACGTCGGTCTTATCTTGGAGACGATGGGCGACAACGACACGGAAATCGGCGGTACTCTGCCCCAGCGCATGCCAAGCTGCCTGGCCACCATGGACGTGTTCCTGCAGCAGCCGCATCCTGTTCTCTCGTCCCTGGTACTCGCTGAGAAGCACAAGTCCATGGATGCAGGGAACCAAGTTGGGCTACTTGAAGCCGTGGCAAACACCCTTGGCATCAAGGACGTCAAGACGGTCAATCCGAACAATAGCCTCGCCGATCTGGGCATGGATTCGCTCATGGGAACAGAAATCAAACAGACGCTCGAGAGAAACTATGACATTGTACTCAGCCCGCAGGAGATTCGGGGCCTGACTTTTGCCAAACTTAAGGAGTTCGCCTCTTCAACCAGCGAGGAGCCGGTGGTCGATGGCACGCAGTCTCCTGCGCCCGTGGCCGAGGAACCTGGCAGCCACGACGGCTTCCTGTTCCAGATCTCGGGAGCGGAGATTGTGCCAAAACAGTCGCTCATTCAGCTCGAGACACGTAAAGCCGTAGGTACACCGATATTTGTCGTATCAGCCATCGAGGGTGTCATTGCATCCCTAAAATCGCTAGCCAGTGAGCTCGAGCGGCCAGTCTGGGGTATGCAGTGCACGAAGGACGCTCCACTCGAAAGTATCCCGGAATTTGCCAAGTTCAACGTTAAGATGATGAAGGAGGTGCAAAAGCAAGGACCATACACGCTCGTCGGCTACTCGTTTGGAGCCCTGGTAGCCTTCGAAATGGCTCTGCAGCTCGAGACTCTCGGCGAGACCGTCAATCTTACCTTGATTGACGGTTCACCTGAATTCATCACGCTGCACACTAGGACTATTGGCAAACAAGCTGAACAGATCACCGAAAGTCTTGAAGATGACGGTTTGAAAAAGGCCCTTGCCTTCTTTATCAGGCAACTCAATTCGACAGTCGGTTTCTTGAAGGTGCGCAATGTCACAAGTTTATCTATTATGAAAAATACATTAATTTTTTTTTTTTTTTAAGATCTCTTGTAAATTGAACGATTTGTTGATATTTTCAGGCGTACTATGAACTTCGGGACGTGAAATCTGACGAAGAAATGTTTAACAAAATGTTAGATCTCATAGGCACTACGCCATTCGACGCCGAAGACATAAAGGAGGCTGGAATTTTATTCTTCAAAAAATTAAAAGCTGCAAATGCGTACAAACCAGCTGGTAAATACCAAGGCCAGATTGCGCTATTCAAAGCACAGGACAACTTTATTTCACTCAACTCTGACTATGGACTGTCCAAGGTAATGCAAAGACTTGCTTACTGTACAAAAAAAATTGTTATACAAAACAATGTATGCGGGAAAAATAACAATCGCTAATTTTATTTTCAGATTTGCAAACAGAACGTTAGGATAGAAGAACTTCTGGGAAACCACAGAAGTATACTGTCTGGTCAAAGTCTTCAGAAAATAGCAGAACTACTGAGGTCATAAAAGCCTAGCAGATTTCAACTTGTATACATTCACTAACACAGCAGAGATTTCTAAAATCTTACATTTAAGAAATAAGGCACTCCTGTTGAGCGGTCGTGCCTAAAAATGGCTGTTTGTAATAGAAAACTTACTTTTTCTGTATGAACGACTCTTTTCAAAGAAATCTCTTGTATCCTGTTTCACATTTGTCATTTGGTAAAAAAAATCACGCTCTCTCACTATTGTGTAGTGTATATTGACGATTATGGTTGAAAAAACAAGAGAATATCCAGTCGAGAGTAGTTTTTGCTTTTCTATAATTTTCTATTCAAAAGACTATTTTTAAAAAATTAAGAAAAATAATACAAGTTTTTGATATAGAAAAACAAAAGAAAGGAATCTTAAAATTAAGCATTGTAAAGCTTAGTTTTTTTTTTTTTTAATTTAAAGTTATTTATAAGGTAGTGTTAAAAAAGAGGAGATTTTCCTGAATATTTCTCATTTTGTCTCCTTTTGCTCCGAGCCTTTAAAATTTAAGTAGAGATTAATTTTCTTTTACGATTTATCTAAGCCTGTTGGTGTACAGAATGTCATTGTCAAATCGTATGAGGCTAAAAGTGTATTTATTACCAGTAAATATTTATTAAATTTCCATGCATGTACTGTAAGTTGCGTTATATCAGTACAAACTATTTTCAAACAGTTAATGTCTTGCAGGAGCTTAAATATGACTGTGAAGAGAATCAAAAACCGAAAGATATAGATGTAGGAATTTTTTACATCCAAAAGATTTATTAGAATTACGAGAAATCATATCTTGGATGTTGTGCTTATTCAAGATGCATTTCAATACGATTTTTTTCAAGTAAATGTTTCCTCCAATTCTGTTAAAATGAATAGTCTAGCAACACATTGTAGCACATTGCAGACTATTCGGTTGTGAAAAAAATAAACTTTAAAGCAAACTTGTATATGTTAAATGAATTTTACACGCTTGTATATTTATTTTAAGGTGTATACTCAATGTGTACATTGTTTACTGTAGATACATAAATAAATGGAGTAGAAACACATTTTGCATTCTGTATACAAATTGCCTTTTTATTTTTTGCTTAAGTACATAATATTACAGAACGATTATTTCATCCTCTTTCACAAAAAAAAGAAAAAAAGAAAAAAAATTTATAAGTTGACAGCTGAGACGTATGGTGGTTTTTTAAATACTGTACAAAACTGTCAATAACCGTTAAAGACCGTGATTCATTTTTTCATTCAACGAATCTATTTGGGAGTAGTTACGATTAATTTTTTTAAGCTCGTATCTCCTTAAATATGCTTAAAATTTTTAAATCATGGGTTTATTCAAGGGATTTTAATCTACTCTGGAATTAGAAAATATACATTGCAATATTATAAATTATTGCGTTTTAAGTAAATGCAAAAAAATATTTGTGCATTGTAAGTCTTACAAATAATACTTATGTTTAAATGCTAACATTCATAATAATACTTTATCATGTTTATAAATGATAATAACGATGTCATGTTAATCGAAATCCTCGGTAACAACGTTCGTAATTCACTCAACGAATAGTTCATATAACACTGCAATATTCAAAATTTAAGGTCCATTCCGACATTAAATTAGTAACCTTAAACATATTATGCTTACGTGCGTTTCAACAAATTCAAGTTGGGATCAGAGACAGCAAACTGACTATCACATGTAAACGATACAGTGAGTGCGTAACGCGTTCCTGAGGTGACTTTTTCAACTGCATGTAAATTTTCACTACCTGACGTGAACATTGAAACTCGACCCTTTCGAGGCTCTATAGTAGTGTTTACATTGTTAGTGTCTATAAAAATAAATCTGCCACCTTCAAAATCTCGGCCATAGTCGCTTAAATAGAGCAAAGATGTGTAGTGAAAGGATTCATATGTCTCCTGCAAAAAATAAGAGGTTCCATTGAAAATAAATACAATAAATATTGAACATTTAAATTGATGAATAACTCACTTTATCAACATGTGGATGCCAATATTCATCGTGTATTGACTTGGCAGGAAGATTAGTTATTTGTGAAAAAAATGTTGGCTTTGTCAGATGAATTTTGCTGACATCAATACCAAAATGATTAGCTATAGCATGTTGTATTTTTGTTTTTACAACTCTAAAAAAGTAAATTTTTGTAAGAAACCTTATAACATGTAAATTTATTGATGAAATACGCGTTCAAATGCTTACTTGTAAATGACAAAATCAGTCATATCAAAAATTTTCTGAGCCTCATCGAGAGCATAGACATTTATAAATTTACTGCCCTTACTCAAGGCCCCGCTCTGTAAGTCTAAGATGCTAGCACCCCCATCAGATCCAGCAAGTTTAAATGTATTTTCAGCCAATTTCAAGAGAACGTCCACTTCAGAGCCTGAGACTAATTTGTCAGAGACTACTCTGCCACACTTTTTAGGAACACATCCAGGAAATTTTTCCATCTCATTTCTGTAATCGTTGGAGCATTCGACATTGACACTACGATTGATGAGAACTTGTTTCTGCTTAGCTAAAAATATTTCCTTGCCGTTTTTTCCTTGATACCATACAATAAACATTATTGCCAAGATCAATACGCAGCGAGTCCACACTTTTTGGTAGGAGAAAGTGACGTGTGGCCCATATTTTCTGTTTGATTGAAAGACATTAAAAACAATAAGACAATGAACAAAATAAGATCACTCTGTATGTAAACTTCATGATAATATTAAAAAATAATTATTATAATATCAAATTAATCGAGGTTAAAACTTAGATGACTAATAATTAATGATAACCTCTATCATTAAGTATCCAAAAGTTTACTTTCAAGTTTGCAATTAAATAAATCAGCAAAAATAAAAAAATAGCAGAGGGTATCTTACGGTTTAATTTCATTTTCGACAGCATCACTTTCAGTTTTATTATCATTGGTGGCCTGCTTCTTTTCCGTTAGTGCATCGTTTTTTCTTTTCCTCACTGTTTCCTGAACCATTGTTAAATGTTGCTAGGTACTTTAAACTTTTGCTAAATTCAAATCCTGCATCCCTTTGGCCTTCCTTAAAGTCCAATTATACCCAAATGACAAGTCCCTTTAAATACTATACTTACTTAGTGCTTGTAGCACATGTTATATTATTGTTGTTAATCTGATACTTACATCCATCAGTTTGTTCGATTTAAGTAACCTGAGCCTCATTTAAGTAGTTCGCAGTTCGCGTTCCTGCACTTACAGACAGTACAGACCAATAAGAACTGAAGCCCGAGGTGGTCGAAAATCTAAACCAGCCGCTTCCTATTCTGAATGCACTAGAATTGAAAAATCTTGCGATTCGTGAAAATCAGAAATACTTAATTTTGTTATATTTCATTCTGGTGAAGAGTTATGTGGTAATTACAGTAGTGCCAAATAGTACGATTTTATAAACCAGCCGTATTTTAAACCAACGGATAGAAAATAAAAATTTGTACAGCTAGATGCCATTTGCGGCAAGATTAGAATTTATCTTCTACTTGAAATACGACCTTTAACAAAATGGATCCAGGGTCGATTTTAAAGTAGAAGATAAATTTTCATCTTGCCGCAAATGGCACCTAGTGGTACAAATTTTTATTTTCTATCCGTTAATTTATGTTGCGGCTGGCTTATAAAATAAAATTTTTCAATTCTGGTGAGAGTGGCGGCTTCAAATTGTACGTACATATTTATACGCGCGACAGTGGTTGGTAAGTATATATACCTATAACGGCACGTAGTTTTTTGCAGAAATCTTATAGAACCTTCCTACTTAATTCCTATTGGAAAGTATCTTCAAGAAGGTATTTAGATATCGCATCACCTAAGTCCACGGCTATATCTAATGCAACAATTATACTTACTACGTTTATTTTCAATGACTGATGACGGTTTGGTAGTTCGGTTCAATCTAAACTAACTTAATTGACACTGAGTCAAAAGTATATAATTATGTTCAGGAATTAATTCGATTTTTTAAAAATAATTTTTATAATTAAATGAATGCCCGATTATACACCTACATTACATCACTTATACGTATTATTGAATTAAGTACACTAAAACTGTCGGTAGGTACATACTCGATGAGTCACTGACTTGATGGTCTTTTACGTTTTTTTGGTAACAACATATCACATAAGTGACCACATAAATATTCTTGAAATGAAATTTAGTTTTTTTATAATCTTACATCGAAAAATAGCATAACATTAATGTGGTGTTTTTTTATTCATATTTAAATTGTATTATTACTTATGCCGTAACCTCTAAAAATGCTTTTTTTTCATAATTATTTTTGACCTATGTTTTTGGCAAACTCGTTTTTTTATAAAATCTATAAACATTAAATTAAGTTAACCTGGTACGTGTTTTATCCATATATATTAACTGAACTGCCAAGAATAGCATCAAATTATTAAGTAATAAACGTCAAATTGAAAGAAGCAAAATCAATAAATATATAAATAATTAACGATCTGTTGAATTACGTACGACTTCCAATTATTAATTATATGTTGAAAGAGATATATATGCCTATATTCCTGGAAATAATGGAATTAGCAAACAGCGTTGAACTATTTATTACTATAAAAACACTAATTTTTTAATATAATTTAAATTTTTTAATAATAATTTTAAAAAAAACAACTATTTTTCATGTGAGTAACTCTACAAAAAATATTTCGAATTAATCCTCTGGTTTTTTAATAAAAATTTTTTTCGAGGCGTATCCTCGTATCCTCGATATGGGGCCTATATTTTACTCGCAATAATGTCATGTTCTACGAGGAAAAAATCATATAGGTACACGAGTTTCAGTCGAGGTGACACCGTTTTCCCTAATTTACTTACAAAAATAATAAACTCTAATATGAAACACACGTGAGTATATAAAATGATTGCATTGAAAATTGTGAGCAAAATGAATCGTATCTTGAGGGTGTGCTGTGAAAAAAATTTTATCAAAAAAAAAAAAAAAAACGGAGGAAGAATTTAGAATATTATTTTAAATATTTACTAATATACCTATAGCGTACTTCATAAATTAACTCGATGACTCGATGCATATTTCATGATTTTTTGTCAAAATTAAAGTGCACTGCAGTGAAGTATCGGCTTATGATCTACATTTCTCTCGCGTTGTATGTATACATATTTGAAGAGAATGGGATGGAGTAATCACTGTATTTTCTATACTGCGTTTGATGAAAGATACAAATCATCAGAACGCGAAAGAGATAAAGAAACAAACTACCGAATATGATTAAGTAAACAAATACGTATATATTTATACACACGCGTAGATTTTCAACGCTTGCGTGAGCTATAGCTATAAGTGCGTGACCATTTTGCGAAATCTAGAAGCAAGAGGCAAGAGGTACATATTTTTCGAGTAATTTTATTGCGACGGGTCGATCGTATACATTATAAATTATTATTAATCATTCCTGTCGCACATTACAATTTTTAAATACATTTTATTTTCTGCTGCAAAGTTTGGTCAATGCGAATAATAAGTATTACTGTCAAATTTGGTTACCTACACACATCTCTCCAATGGTGTGAAAAATAAAACAAAGTATATATACGTATAATGTACATATAGTATGTACCTATATGTAAAAAGTTTGTCGCACAAGTTGCCATGGTGACGCTCGAAATCACATGGACGTGGCACACACCTAAACGATACACCTGTTAACTGTACACATGTGTGTAGGTGCATACACAATGTATGTGTACGTGTGATACCATTACTACCTAGTTGGCATGTTGGATTGTTGTCAAGTGTAATAGAGTGTAGTGTAAGTAGTCCGTCGAGACAAAATTCGGGGGCGTGTAACTTTTGTAAGTCGCAAGTGTCCGAGTCGCTGTCAGTTCGCGTGTGGTTGCACTGTAAAAAAGAAAGAAAATTAATAAACGATAAGCATACTTAGGTACGTGCAGAATGCGATATTACAGTGCTGCAAGTCCATCAACTTTTGTGCGGCGTGTGTAGCCAATGGTAGTAGCCCAGTGACCTAATACTTAATATTGGAGAACCTCTTTGTTCAAGAATCATGGATGACGCTGGACAACGTGAAAAGGAGTAAATCATCTGACAACCATAGTACAATTAATGATCAAACTTCTATGTGAGTATACATAGGTAATACTTGAAGCGAACTTTAACGAAATATTTGCAATGGTTAACTTGTTTACATTGGATGCATGGTCAGTTGGTCACTCGTTGAAACTCGGTGCTCCTCGTCTATGTATTATTGTTTATACATACCCCCACCCGTACTTTGCGAGCAAATTTTTTTTTAAACATTACATTTACCGTGAGTGCTACCACCACACGAGTTGTTATTACATTTTTTTGTTTATTTTAAGTAACTGCCAATACAAGGGCATGACGCTCATCAAACATACAGCTTTAACGCAACTGAGTATAGCGAGTATAGTACCCCTTACATCAGTTGTTTGTTTTTTAGTTCCACGTGGATGTCCCTGTGGAGAACACTAATATTTATCGTAGCAATAGATGACAACTTAGATATTATATACATAGTCCCAAACAAATATATTACGTATACCATTGATGATTAAAAATTTATAACGAGTGATTGAAAACAAGTTTCATTACCGATAGCCGATGTACGTGTCTTTAAAAATTCACTTTTATTAACACAGAAATTCTGTGTCTATTATTTATTGTTACTTATCAAGACATGACATCTTCTACCTTTACTCAAAAAAGAAATTGCGTGTGTCGCACCGATATCAATCGAGCTTCTAGAATAATTCGAATTGAATCTTTTCTTGAAACGAGCTTAAACTTTCCTCCTTTTTTGGAGCACGTTCGCTTAAAATTTAATTCAAAAAACGTATTTTGTTGAATGGAGAAAAAATTTCATTGCATTAATGTTTTCTTGACTGTAAATAATATTACCAATGAATTGTACAAGAATTGAAGCGAAATGTGAACATGCGGACAAATTCACAGGTAGGAAACACGGTTACTTAAAAAAAAAAAAAAAAAAAAAACATTCGAGCTTGCTTGGAGCGCTGTAAAGTGAGACGATGTTATTTACGTTGGAGCCAAAATGAAAAATAGGAAGCAAAGCTGTGTAAATAAGTGTTGAAAATTCCGCAACCGGCAGTAGGAAATAATCCATAAAAAGAAACAGCAGCAGCTCGCTGCGGGCATACACATGGGCAAGATTACGCGCGGGCATGCAAAGCCGGAGTGAAAGCTGGGGTTGGTAAGACGGGGTTGGGGCGGCTGCACGGGAAAGGGTGTTCTTATATACTTTATGGCTCGATAACCATAAGTAAGTAGTTGGGTGGCCGAGTTTCGAGACGCGCCACGCACACGCGTCTAATAAGAATACCTCCGCGGCTCTCCGAGCTTCTTCTTGTTCTGCAAGTACAATTATACTTGTGATTGGCGGGTGAGTATCGGCTCGACATGCACTGATACGCTGATTCTTCGACTACAGTAGGTACAAATGTATTTTATTTTTCTGTCGCACGTGTGTTATCAAGTGTGCGGGTGCCGTTTTACTTTCGTGACTTGTCACGTTTAAATAAAATGATCAATGGAAAAAAAACAAAAAAAAAAACCATGTATGTCCACCCATGAAAGGGTCAATGTCACTTTATTAACAATACCAATCAGCGCATACTCTGCGCAGTTATTTTCTACAAAAAAAAATTACTTTTAGGTGAAAACATGCCAATATGGCCTTAGGATAGTCAATTTCGCATCGTAGAAAAAAAAAGTTCTTTCAAACCTCGCAAAAAGCGATTTTCGAGACATTTTGCGTTTGAGTTTATCTTGCGGTGAAAAAAAAAAGAAGTAAAACAAAAGTAAGGAGCTATGTATGAGGTCACGAAAGTACAGTTGCGCTGCTGCAGCGGGAAGGGCGGAGGGGTAGTAACTATGTGGTACATCGAACATACCCAATTAAGTATACAAGACACACGCTGCTTTCGGGCGCGGGTGCGGGTGACTCATATATATATATATATTAAAAGTGTTGTGCTCCCTCTGTGATATGCATAAAAACTAAGTATACGAGCGCGTAGTCATACGGGCATCGTAAATGTATTTATATACAATATATACCCACGGCTGTATCTCTCTGCAAACACGTTTCTAATCATATTTTTAGGTGTAGACACGTACAGGTATATTTATTGTACACACATACTTACCCATATGTATGACATACATACCCATATGTATGACAAAAGTTATTGTCGACATCATGTCATTTGCCAAAGAAATCCCTGTCTGTCTCCACGGGCAAAGTTGGATCGATAGGCTCACCTGTTTAGTTTTTTATTTTATTTTTTTCCCCCGTATCGAAAGTATTACCCCTTGCACTCTTTTTGCACCCTATACTGAATTGATGACTTCGGTTTCCTACTGTTTTTAATATATAGGTATACATAGAGCACGATTAGCATATACCTAATGCCTCTCCCACATATTTATACAAAGATATACAATTGTCGCTCTGATCATCTCGATTGTCTCTCGGGTAAACCTGTTTCGTTGCAGCTTCAAAGGAGCCGTCAATTTATTTCTGATTCATTGGGGACGATGGTAAACCATTCATCGTGTAACCGAATATTGTATTCGATCGTACAACGATGTCTCCCTCTCGAGTCGCACTAATATAATATGTACTATAGCGAGCAAAATTTTTTTTTCTTTTTTTTTCATTTTACTTTTATTTTGTCGTACATACGTAATAGTATATATATATAAGGAAATTTGTCGTACATACAGCCAGCGTTTCCAGTAAATGGGTCGCATGTCACGGATACTTATATACCTACTTTTTCGATTCATTAAGTATTTGTGGCCACGTAAATTACTTTAACGATTTTTTTCCCATCACAAATATTATGTTTTATTCAGATGTGGTGACTCGTGAAACAAAAAGCCTCGGTATATTTGCTATAGTATATCAAACCAAGAAAACTTACGAAATTTTTTGATCTTGAAAAAACCATTTTTTGAGTAACCAATTAGGCATGGCATATACATACGGAGAAAAATCAATTTTCTGCCGAGAAACGTTAAACGTTTCCTTTTGGTTTACATTTAATCCATCAGTCATTGGATTTTAATGTTTTCATTCGAATTTTTCAATTACACCTGTACTAAAATAATTTTTACAGGGTTTTTGTCGATTAAATTATAAAAATTTCTATAAACGTCACAAGGCGTAGGGTGTGAAAGTATTTGACAAATCCGTTGGTACCTATATAATTAAATAACGTGAAACATATCACGCTGTTTTCTAATTCACATATTAATTTTAATTAATTTTTTTTTTAATTTTGACAAAAAATTTGATGCTTATTATTCTTTTTTTTCTTTTTTATCAGTACATATGTACATAAAGTTAATTATTAAGTTTTTTTTTTCCACCAAATAAGTTCAACAACTACATAATCTTTTAGTAGATCAATATTATTTGACCTACTCATATATCATCGACACGAGAAATAGCCACATATACTTAGTAACAAAAAATAATATTGCCAAATTATATACTTCAAAATACTAATTTATTTGCCATGTAGTCCCTATAAGAAATAAGGTACGATGATGTAGGCATATAAACACTGTGCCGCACCAGTGGTATCATCGCCTTAGACTAGACACGATGTCTGGGTTTGGGACACAATCAACAATAAGTTGTCTTCTCGTACAGCTTGTACTTGCACAGATACCTATACTGCCGTTAGTACACCTACAGTTACTTTATTTATTTATCCTCCTTAAGTCAGTGTATTCGCCGTTGAGAGATATAAAATATTCAGGGTATATTAGCCGTACTCTTCGTATACACTTTTTCTCTAATGTTTTTAGTGTTGAAAAACGACTATTGTATAGGTAGGTATAGTGTAGTGTGTAGTGTATTATATATAAGAGAAAACATAATCCTACACGATACGATGATATTAATACGAGATCGTATGGTTTTTATATTTTTTCATTACTTTCATTATTTCTTCAATTTCAATGTGACTAATCATACACTTTAAAGATTTTTTGTCCAAGTATGTGTATGTAGTATATGTAACACGATTCTTATAGACCAGTTTTTTAGGACTTGTAATTATTTTATTACCTGATAAATTATGGTCTTACGTATAAGTAGGTATACTTTTGTGTACTTATTTGTTTTTGTTTTGCTTGTATCGAGTTAATACAAATGCAACAATTGTCAATGAATCGGTATGGAATATAATACGTGTATTTACGTATGATATGTATTTTTTATTCGTATCACGTAGTGCGCATGTAATGTTAAGTGCAATGCTATTCAAAGACGCTAAATAATTTTACGGAGCACTAAAGCATCGTAACAATTTTGCTAGTTGCAGTACTTAATTTCAGGGCTTGATAACAGAGTTGTCACTTTTAGTCAATCGGGTTAAATATGTTGACCTTATCCGTTTTTATTTATGCCCGAATATTTTTCTTGTACAACATCGGTAAGGCCACTTGATTAAAAAGATGTAAGCAATACAACGCAGTCAACGTGCGTGAGTCGGGTTGGTTGTTAAATTTATTTTGACGCCCTTGTCGCTATCGATGATAATAAAGCACGAGGTACCATGCACGGAAGAGGGTTTAGGCTGTACATACAATGTGACGCGTATAACCGATTTTGAATGCCAAGTGAGTAATAAATACTTACACCCAGTATATAGTAAGTAGGTCTACGTTTACAACGTAGGACGTGATCGATCGTCTCTGCAGCTCGCTGCTGACCAATGAATACCTATATGTATAATACGCTTTCCTAAAATAAGCGAATCGATGTAGAACTCAACACATTTGTTATCGAAAATCGCACTGCAAGTCGCTCAAAATTTCGGTTTTTTTGAATTTTTCCCCGATTATTATTAAGTATTACCCTAATGGTTAGCTAATTAAACTGTGCCACCCTGTCGATTCAAATGCTCATACACCTCCGTTTTTTCGTTGCAATATTTCTATTATTATTATTATTATTATTATTATCATCAACATTATTTACGTAGTTATTTTTATAAACATAATCATAAGTATTATTATCATCAACATGATCATCGTTGTCATCATCATTACTATNTATTAAAGCAACACCTGTTGGAATTGAAAAACACTATACCTATATACTTACGCCCGTGCACAAAATGCCAACGATGCACGTAAAAGATTTTCTCCCGCAGTGAAAATAAGGTTATACATATTAAAATACAAGTATACACTTGTAAGTATACGGTACGCTTAGCTAGTACTTAAGTAAATGACCTTAGATCGATGGTAATGGGATTTCAGAGCCGAGGAAAAATGTCAGCTCTGCGGAGCGGTGAGCATCATCAGCGAATCCGCCAAAGTAGAACTTCGTACGTATCGTCGCTGATATTAGCTGCTGCAACGGTGATCGAGGATCTAAATAGCAATCGGATCAAGAAGGACATTGGGAGGAAGAGGAGGATATAAGTCGTTGGTATTAACATATTATTATTTGTTACGAGAGAGAGATGCAGGCAATGAGTGTAAAAAACGATGAAATAATAACCTATATGGAGAGATAGGGAAGTTGTACAGGTTGGTAAATGCAATTGGTGCCAGAGCTGCGATCGAAGGGGAGTTGGCCGGTGATAAAAGTGCGGTGACAGCTAATATAGATGACGATGAACCGGTACGTGACGCTGAGCCAGTTGGGGGACGGTACCTTTGGCTCGGTGGTTCTCGGCGAGCGCATCGACACCGGCGAGAAGGTCGCGATCAAGCGCATGAAGCGCAAGTACTACTCGTGGGAGGAGGCCATGAATCTGCGCGAGGTCAAGTCCCTGAAGAAGCTCAGCCACGCCAACGTCGTCAAGCTCAAGGAGGTCATCAGGGAGAACGACGTCCTTTACTTTGTCTTTGAGTACATGAAGGAGAACCTCTATCAGCTGATGAAGGACAGGTATGTACATGTGTATGTATGTATGTATGTATGTGTATGTGGATAAATAAATAAAAAAAAAACATGGTCATCAGGGACAAGCTGTTCCCGGAGCCGGTGATAAGGAACATGATCTACCAAATACTGCAGGGGCTGGCGTTCATGCACAAGCACGGGTTCTTCCATCGGGACATGAAGCCCGAGAACCTGCTGTGCATGGGCCCGGAGCTCATAAAGATCGCGGACTTTGGCCTGGCCCGGGAGATAAGGTCGAGGCCACCGTACACGGATTACGTGTCGACGCGCTGGTACCGCGCCCCGGAGGTACTGCTCCACTCGACGAGTTACAGCAGCCCGATAGACATGTGGGCCGTGGGCTGCATAATGGCGGAGCTGTACACGTTCCGGCCCCTCTTTCCCGGCAAGAGCGAGATCGACGAGATATTCAAGATCTGCTCGGTCATCGGCAGCCCCGACCGGACGGACTGGCCCGACGGCTATCGCCTCGCCGCGGCCATGAACTTTCGATTTCCCAACTTTAGCCGCACCTCGCTGGCCGTCCTCGTGCCGAACGCGAGCCCAGAGGCGGTCCTCCTCATGGAGGACATGCTCCAGTGGAATCCCGCAAAGAGGCCTACCGCCCAGCAAGCTCTCAGGCAAGTTAGACCGGTGCGGTGCATATTGTGTGTCGTACATTGATATGCACACTCAAAAGCCTCAAACTTTAACTTGGTATCACAGGGTGTTTTTTTTCTTTATACACATTTTTTGTTTACTTCGAGGGGGGCTTCACTTTCTTCCCGAGGTCTGCCGCTCGGAACTAACGCGATAACCATCCCCCTTCCACTATTTCTTATAACGTTAGGCTCCTCAAAGTAGGGCTGCCAAAGAAAATGTTTTTTACCGATAGTGTATATATACATAACATTTGCTCACTTCCACTTATACTTATACCGATCGGTGCTCACCAACTATTCCACGTGCTACAAGGTTACAAACATACGTACCACTCGGTTTGGGATTTTCATCTTTAATTGCAATTTCGCATGTACAAGTATAAGTATGAGTGATTGTTCGCTTCAGGTATCCATACTTCCACCCGATGGGATCGCGGCTGGTCAACGGCAAGAAAATCGGCGTGAACAATTCGGGACAGCGCGAGCTCATCCTGAACAAGGTTAATATCGGCTCACCTGTGCAACCTGGACCGGCCGTAGCCCCAACGCCGAACGACTCTTCCGCTGCCCACAACGGACATCCCGGTGTCCCACTGCTCAACCAGCAATCTTCCAGGTTCTCTTAACTGTTGCTCCGATTTTTTTTCACCTACATTGTATATCATATGAATATGATACATAGCTCAGTTTATGCATAGGTATTTTACAGCTTGCGTATACGTATATTAAGTATATAACATCACAAGAGACAGCACACGCATTATTTCGTGCATGTTTGAACGTTAATTGCAATAACATTTTAATTACTATCGATATGAAAAAAAAAAAAAAAAAATCGATGAATCACATATATTATATACCGTCATTTTATCATCCATTACTTTTGTACGTGTATAACGCGTAAAGTGCGTATACCAAAAAACACTAGTATGTATTTACTCAAAGTACAAGTAAAATGCGTTTATTTATATTGATTCAACGTCAGTTTTTCCTTGCCATGATCCTTGCACTCATTCCAATACCGATAAAGATTTAACATCAGGTACTTGTTGCTTTTTAGCGTTGCAGATGCAAAGTCTCGTTCTCTCTTTTTTTTTTTTTGTCTCCTCTTTTCTTCATTCAATATTTTGAACGCATTGTTAATATTTTAACTTCTTTATTATAGGTATTGATTTGTTATTATTTTTATTGCTGTCGTTATATATTATATGCAATGCAAACATATATATAGTGGCATATGTACAGGTATATGTATATACATAGTAATTACGCATCGCACGGCAAAGTAGTTAACCCTCGAAAAACAATCGTCGATCGAAGGAGCGTGCGAGCGCAACAACTATTTTCGTTGCAGAGTATTGCCGGAAAAGCCACTTCAGAAGATCCAGGTCCAGCCGGTGCTTCCGCTCCTCAACCACAACAGCCGTAAGAGGGAAAGCGTCAGCCCCATCAAAAAGTGGGACGACAACGACATGGACGCCGACGTGCTCGGGTGGGACATTGCTCATATTATTTTTTGTTTTTTGTTTCTTTGTTATACGTATATAGTAAGTATATACACTCTCGTTGCCGGCAACCGGTTGATTCCAGCGATGCAGAATAAAAACCAATATGTATACCAATATACCATATTTGTACACCAACATTTCTCGATATGTACGCCAATTACAGAAACATCTTCAACTCGGAGGAGAGAAAGGCGCGACTGCTACCCGAACGAGTGAACAAAGAAAATCGGATCAGCTGGAACGGCAACTACCTCCTGAGCCGAGTACCCGAAGTCCAGCCGAAGCAGCTCAGCGCGAGCTGGGCGATGCCACCGGTAGCCCCCTCGTTTCGCCAGGACGAGCAAACGCCTCAGCAGCCGAACCGAGCTTGGAGCAACACCATTGCAAATAATACCAACAACAGCAATAACGAAAACAACGGCGCCATGAGCGGTAACAACAAGCTGCACCACCATCATCAACTCATGTCCGGCCACCGGGTGCTGTCCAACAATCGGCGCGCCATCGCAAAGCTGCCGACCCACTACGTCATCGCCCAGTCGCCCAGCCAGCTGCCGTCTAGGTATCGCCATCACATAAGTATATACATATTTGATTGACCCGATTCACGTTATAGTCACACCCCCTCGTGCATGTATTATATAAAATTACGTGCACCCACCCAAGCGCGGCGAGGGCCGAGAATCAGGAGTCGGTGGCAATATTCGGTGCCCAGCAGCTTGTGTTCCTGGTCGCGTGCGCGCTCTGCCTGTACGGAGCGTCCTGCTGGCACGAGAGCCTCCTGCGCGAGCTCGAGCTGGACGCCGAGAGGTCCCAAGCGAAGCCGACGATTTTGCGGGACGCAGCCCGTCTCGCGCTCTACGTGCTCAAGCTCATCGTCCGAGCTCTGCTACTCGCGCTCCGGCGTGTCGGGCTCGCGCTTCGGGAGGCTTCTGTCCTCGCCGGTCTTTTCCAGCGGGACGCGAAAGGGGATGCCGGACAAGGTCAGCCGACGCTGCGTCCCGAGGATCACGAGTACCACCCTGTTCCGTGGTACTGCCCGAAATTACCCCTCGTCGATCTTTTTGCCCTCTACTTTGGCCTCGCGCTGCTACTCGTGCTCGTGATCCTCTTTGCCACCAGACGTGCGCTGTTTCGTTGATGCCTCGCATACACGTCTCTTACCCATTGTGTATACGTCTACACTGTCATGCATTGTGTCACTACCGCGATGTGCATAACGAGCGTTAATAAATTAAAAAAAAAAAAAAAATTCCTATTTGCCTTACACATAATTATACTTGTATACTGTACAAGCGGGAAACCTCACAGCTTTTTGTTCGGCGACACGCGCGTGCACTTGCAATGGAAAAAAATAACTGTCATCGTTGTTATATAAGTATATAAATATATGAACCGATGAGGAAGCTGTGAGGGTGTCGTTAGTGGACACAGACCGAGAACTCTGGCCGCCACTTGTACATGGTAGCTTGGGGGTGAAACATTTCAGGAACGGCAGCGAGTCCCGATCGCGGGCCAGCAACGGTCTCAGCCAGTTAGCCGAGCTGCCGAGTAACGAGAAGCTCGATCAGCTCGCGGACACCTTTCGAGACTCTGCGCCGCACCATCGCCTCCCCATGGGCCACGGCGTGTACAGTAGTAAGTCTTTCGAATCCCTATACCTCCCCCCCCCTTTCTCCCCTTCCCTCCTCTTGCACCACTTTAAACATTTATACAAGTATAACTAATGGCACTTCTCCTCTGCACTGGTCCAAGCTCTACGTGTGATAGTATTGTAGTTGACTGATGTAGAATTGCAAAGTGAATATGTTTGATTGTGATATAAATCGTTGCCCTGCAGAAGCGGCAAGCGGCAAAACACTGTTCGGTGGCATCCTGAGCTCGCGGGCGAGCGGAGCTGCCGGTGGACGAGTCGACGGCTGGGCCACAAACTATTTTAAATGATCGCAGCTCGCGCCAAGGGCTTCTGATGATCTATGTTACATTTGCAAGAGTCTTACCGACTGCTGTGATAGCGCCAAATAATAGCTAATGGAAGCTATACCTATAATTATTATATCTTTATATACCGTCATTTTATCATCCATTACTTTTGTACGTGTANTTTTTTTTTTTTTTTTCTTTTTCGAGGTTCTCGATGCTTAGAAATACAATTCCTCAGGTGCCTGAATGTCTTTTACGCATAACTACATTTCATAGCTGATTGATTACACATATTCGTCAATCATTTGGAGGCTCGGCCATGTTTTATGTGTAGGTATATTTAATTACGCACATGTATGACACGGAGAAGATTTTTGGATGAAAGGAAGAAAAACAAAATAAGTGAACAGTGGATTATTGTAAGATGTATTACGGTTATAAATTATATACATATGTTTATGTATCATGTGTACATATTATAATATATACTATGTTAGTAATTGCACCCTGCAAAGTTTTCGCGTGGTCCTCACCTCTCCGCAAATACCTTATGAGTTTTATTTTATTTTATAGGTAATTTTCTTAATTTACCTAATTTTTAATTTCATCTTTTTTTGTAATGAAGTTTTTCATCCAAAATCAAATTCTTAAAAAAAAAAAAAAAATGTTTAACCAAAAAATGATTAAAAAATATAAATATATTAATAGCAATAATAATAACAAGAACGAGGAAAAAATTTATAGATGTATACATCTCTCTTTCTGATTGAATAATAATTTTATGATTATTATTGATAACGTACCTCTTCGGAATAAATTCCAAACGATCAAAATTAATTGAAATATCAGGATATCTTTCTCTGATACGTCGTATTTTATTATTGTTTTTAACCTCAAGAGGATGAGTAGAACTGGAAAATGTATATGAATATGTGGACTGTAAGCACCTTAAATTTACATGGATTAAAATTTTAGTTGCCTTAACAAGAAATATTCTGCATTGTAAATCTTTCAACAATGAGTTTTATGATTTTTTCTTACTACGTCTTATGTGTATTTGAGAAAAAATCTGAAATGCATTCCTGAATTTTAGTTATTTTAATTATCGTCTCGATGTTTTACCAAAAATTTTAAAAACCTTACCTAGCTATCAAAGACCAATGTGATGAACGATTTTACTTTCTAATAAACAGAAGAAAAAAAAAGTGAAGATTATTTATTGCTCATATTTCCATTTTAATTTACTTATTATTCCATAATTGTGCAGATTTAAAATAACTTCAATGTATTAGTTTACGTATTGTAAATTTATTATTAGATACTTTAAATTTTAACAAGTCTCATACACTCAAATACAATAGTCAAGCTGTCAACAATGTACTTCCATCACAACACACACGCTCGCCCTTTTCTAAAATGTCACACATGAAAAACAGTACTTGCAATTCATTCATTTTATCAAGTTTGCTAGAAATACCTATGTACAAATTTTGAGTGAAACTATTATTTGTACATATTCAAAATGCAAGCGCTAATTTTTTCACATAAAATATTCAGTAAAACTGTTTTTAATATTTTTTGGCAATCGTTTAGTGATGCCAATGTCACGCAAAACTTTACAACGATACTCAAATAGTGTACTTAACCTTTAAATAGAGCTCAAAAAAATACATATATATACTATATTTGCAATTCAACAAATCAACAGCTCAACGTGATTACATTTTACATATACGTATTCTTTTCAAGCAAAAACTTCAATATTCTCTGTCGATTCGGAAAATTAAACATAAGTAAATCTTTTCATAATCTCATAGGATAAGTTAAAATAATCAATGCACACAAAAACAACTTTTATTCTATTGAGAACAATAGCCCGTTGTAATCATCTTGTTCATAATATTTATGATGTTTCATACAACTTGTGCATTTTCATCGCACCTTTGGAGAACAACGACGTTTTTTTTTTTTTTTGTTTTTTTTATACTATCTCTATTATTTGCAGATAAATTAATTATGATTTTACGAAAAGCACATAATAATCTGATATAAATATGCATCAGAAGTCGTTGTATTTTACTATATTCTTTAGTATTTCAACTTAATTAAAACACAAGCTAAATGACTAAATGTGTTTTCTGGAAGAACTGATCGTAAAATATACTGTTATCACATTGTTAAAAATAATCCTTAGCAGTGAAATCTAAATTGTTTTAAAATAATAAATAATAATAAGGAACTCACTTTCACAAGCCTTTTAATGGAAATAAAAATAATCAATATATATTGCTGCAACAAGTTATACATCCTATTGAATAAAACCCAAACTTGTTATAAGGTTCAGCGTCTTTATCGTATAGTATAAATTATGTTAAATATTCATAGTCATCATCAGTACTCCTATGCATAAACATGCGAGAATGTATAATTAAACACACTACTAACAGTATATTTCAACAAAATATTATTTATACATTTGGTCATATTTCTTTGAATTAGTTTAATCACATGAAAAGTAAAATAACTGAGAGTGTGTCTACACACGTGCGTCCTCGTATTTTTATATACATTGGTTTTTTGACGATAACGTAATATAAATACAGGACTAAAATGAGATTTTTTTGATGTATAACAAAGACGCTGCTCTTAATAATAATTTTTGTTTTGCTGCATTATTTTGCAAATCATTGTACATATACATATGACATCATGTCAGGAGGTATACGGCTACTTAATATATCTAGACATTAATGTGTACACACTTATTATCATTCGTAAGTAGAATATACGTTCATACAACCTTTCAATTTTTAGAAAAGAATCACTATTTCAACCACGATATTATTATTATTATTATCGCCATAGTATTCACAATCTCATCAGTCACAATATTTTATTTAATTCACAATACACATAAGTTAAAAAGTTTGCTTTTTTTGCATTATTATTAGTATCATCATCACGGGTGTATATCATCATATCATAAAAGGGTAAAAGACGCAGTCTCTTGTTTAACATTTTCGAAATTGATTGAAGATAAAATCCGTCGATTTTAGACTAAATATCATTGTGAATGAAATATCATGAATAACGCGATATGTAGGTACTGCTCTTCGTGTTGCGGTGGAGCAAAGAAAAAAAAATGTGTAAGATGCGTCTAAAAAAATTGGGTATATAATGTATTTCCAAACTCACCAGATCTAACGAGAAAAACTTATGGTGAATTATTTTTTTACCAACCACATCCCAAAAGGGTTTTGCTTGATCCCTTTTAGTATTTAAGACATTCATTACACTCAATATGTAGCATTCAACAAGTCATATATTCGTTATAAATTATTTAAAATCTACATTGAATGCAACAAATAAAAAAATATATTCCGCTCATAGTATAAACTGTAAACTGGATTGGTGACAGCTACACCAATTGTTATATAATAATATTGTTATATGTATATCAGTTGATAGTAAGTATTGGAAAGTTCGTGTTATCTAAAAAATAAAGATTACAATGTATGTTTACGGGTACAGTGCCGTGATAAAAGTTAGACAAGTTATACACTATAGAGCTTATAACTGAAAATTCACTCATCAAAACTAAATAAAATTTAGTTTTCGAAAAAAAACTTGATTCTGATATCCCATCTATCAATTTTTATTCCGAAAACGCATAACGTTTTCGACACGTTGGCAATCCTTTTTACTCCAACTCATAGCATAACGGAAACTTTTGAAAGGGACAAAGCTTATTCCACCAAAGTGGCCGAAACGTTTACGTATACAATCAATGGCCAAATTTCACGACCCTCGCAGCATAGGGTTGTAGGGATCGCGAATACATGTCTAGTGTACTTGACAAATAAAAATTGATAAAGGAATTATCAGAATCGAGTTGTTAATTTATTGATAAATTCATATCTCATTGGACGATGTTGAAACTCAAATTAAAAAAAAAAAAAAAAAAAAAAATAAAGTACGGGTATTGAATTAGTACCTTATGATGTAGATTAAGTACATACAAGTATACAGATGGGCGAAAACGCTTCAAGTACCGTGAAGGGCACTGTTGCCAAACACTGTCGTCACGTTGGCGAAGATCCGCGGTATGGCTGTGCTGGTGAGGTTCGAGGAAAAATGGTCCGCAACCTTGAAAATCGCGTCGTGAGTGGTGCTGTCACCGTTTATCAGGGCCGTGGTGAGTACTCCAGCCAGAGTGGAAGCTGTGGTTTTGACCCTCGGAGCCTTGGTGATGCGCTTGATGACGCCACTGGCCTTTTTGGTCGCCTTCTCGATGGTCGACAAAGTACTGGCAATCGTGGCCATTGTCGACGAGCTTGAGGTAGTTGGGCTCGACCAGCTGGTCAGTAAGTTCATCGTGACGTTGCTGATGCCCGCCGGCGTTGTGGCTGCCAGTAGAAGCGGTGTAGCATCGTCGATGCAGATCTGCTTGTACGTCAGGGGTGGCCCGAGGCACGCGTCCAGCATGTAAGCGAGGATCGAGCCGAACGTCAATCCGGTCGTGTACGACAATGTCATTATGTTACCTACGAATAGTTAAATCATACTAATGTACGGGGATGCCAACGTATGATTTGTCAGGTATGGGGGATGTATACATATATATCCCTCACCTACGTATTTTTTAGCATTTGGGTATATTGTACTTAAAACAACTTTTTTTTCAAATTTTATTCTCAAAATTTATTTATGTCGGGGGGGGGGGGTGCACGACTGTTAACCAAAAATAATGGTTACTCAACAGCGAATTAAGGAAATTCGTACCTGCCATATACCTACAAATTGCCTTTATTTTTTGTAAGTCCCTACATATATAAAAATCCCTACAAAAATCCAGTGATTTTTGAGGGTATTACCGGCTAGTTCTCGATACTCCTCGGACACCTTGGTGGGCGCTTGGACCATGGGGATGCTGCCAACGATGCCGTTCGTGATCCCGAGCAAGACCGACAGTACAATGGGGCACAACTCGTTCGAGAGTACCGGCATGCGTCTTGGGATGGCGCACATGAGGAACAATGGTACGAGCAAAGCTCGGGCGCACGAAAAATTCAGCAGTTGCGAGCGCGACCATTGAAACGGTAGCGTCGCCAACATCTGCGGGCAGTTCACTGATGATTGTCTCGTCAACTTATCGTTGAAAAAAAAAAAAAAAAAAAAAAAACTTACCTTTCCAAGCAAATCGGCACCGTTAAAGGCAGTCATCAAAATAACGGGCATCCAAGATCCAAATTTACAAGAGATTATTTCCGATATGATACCCGGATAGAGGCAAAGCGTCACAAAGTAAGCTATCCCGATACTCGCCATGTAAGGGTATATTAACTTTGCGACTTCTAATCTGGCGATGAGACCACCTGGTGAAAACAAGTAAAAAAAAAAATTATTTCAGATGGTATTGTGAATAATGGCACGACGAATGCTAAATAAATTATGATAGTTGTCTCGGTTACGGCGCAAAGAACTTACGTTTGATTCCGGACCACCTTTTGTTCGTGCCAGGGGGTGCGTTGCCGCCGTAACTCCCTCTCATAAACACAATGTCCTCGACCTTGTAAGTTGGTCCGGCGTTGCCTGACGCGCTTATATTGGTCGAGGGCGCACTTGGGTCGTAAACTGGATTACTGAAGGAGAACTCGAAAAACTGACCTGTAGCTGAAAAATGTAATTTTTTTCCAACTTGACTGATGCACTTGTTGCAAGTATTTTCGAAAATGATACTCGTACGCACTATTGGTCGTGTCGGTGGCCCCACTAGTCGAGTCGGGTCCTAAGGGACTGGTTTGTAACTTGAGCACCCCATACTGTCCCCTGGACGGATCGCTACCCTGATCCAAGGGATCCGTCTGCGTAAAAAAGGCGCATACAATTAAGGGACCATGGAATAGAAAAACAACTCAACGTGCGCAATGAAAAACAATGTGTCGGTTCTCACCAGTCCGGTGTCCTCGTGGGGCTCCAGTATGATTTTGTTTCTCTCTTGGCACATGTTTATGTAGTACTGGACAAACTCGCTCTTGTAAATGATTTGTTGCATGACAAAGCATATAATGATCGTGATGATGGAGAAAAAGAAGAACATGGACGTGTTGCCGCGTTCGTCTTCGACCAGTGACTTTGTGATTATGCGATTTATCGAAACCCAAAATCCGGCGGCACCTGATGCCACACAATATGTTACATGTATTTATTTATACATATAATATGTGTACGTGCGAGTCGGAACCATCATTACAATCATGTATCCATTAGAATAGTACAGCCAACAAAATTTATCATAATTTAATTGAAACAAGGAGCAATTACCCTAGACATGTATAGTTGGAGGTGGTAAAATATTATAATTTGAATGATTATTACTTTCGCCAGCCATAACAGCCTGTGTGTAGCGAGTAGGGAGCATCGACGTGTATCCGTAAAAACTGGACTGTTGGACCGTACAGCCTAACGAGACTACGGCCACAGCCACCAGATTGATGGTGTACGTTGTTGCCTTGCCGAAAACTTCCCACAGTATTTCGCATACGACTATGAAATTGAGGGTCAGGAATGATACCAAATAGCCTAGAGAGAAAGAAAATTAAGAAAAATATAAAAGATCAAAATCGAATGGAATATGCTTTGCTGGATACACATATAATACATATGTATTATCACGAACTGTTCGAAAGAGTGGCAAGTTTTTGACATTTTTCAATATCAACTACTCATAGGTATGTTCGGTACGACATTTTCAATCGGGTGTATTACTATACTTTGTGAAAAATAACATATAAACACTTATTTTGTAACGACACATACTTTTTTTTTTTTTCATTTTCAATGACTTTTTAAATGCACCAAGTACATATATAATTATTATCAACAGCATGAGTACAAAATGAAATCGTTATTAGTTTTGCTGTTAAGATTATATACCTACTTTGTACGAAGGGTTTCGGCATTTACTTGTCACTGAATTTGTGTAAAACATCACACATTCACAATAATGCATTATATTTTAATGCGCGATTGATTATAATAATATTATATGTGCACATAATAATAATAAATATACATGCATGTAATATATTATGTTGTGTTCTTACCGAATGTTATTCTGGTGCCGAGGGAAAGCGTCTCGACGAGTACGTTATTGACCAAGACGGCGAAAAATGCCACCGTAATGTAAACAACTGATATGTCGAAAATGACAGTAGTACCGGGATACCTCGCTTGAAAGTAGTCAACGGCAATGACAAAGCTGAGACAAACATAAGTAGGTACTTTTAGTATTATTTAGTAACACATGTATAACATATACGTACGTTAATTGTGTTGAAAATTTCAATAATATTATTATGTATGACGAACCGACACCGCAAAATAATATTAATGCAAGCGTAGGTATATTATGTAATCATAAATGTGCTATAAAATGTTAATTAACCGTGTATGTGTATATTATGATACAATATGTATAATAATTTTGAGTTACGATGTTATTATAATGGGGTGGCGAACCTGTTGTACGGCAGGAGAAAACCAATTCCAGCGAGCACCAGCGACAAGTAAATAAGGTTCCACCTGTCAACCGGTGGCGAGATCCTGGCGATCCCGTTCTCGTTGAATTTGAACTCGTTCATCCTCCTAGCCTTGCCCAATTGCACGTAACCACGGCTCAGGTTCTCGTCCATCTTTCCAGTTCAGTCCTAGTTTGCCCCTTAATTATTATACCATCCCCCCCCCACCGATAAGCGCCTTTTTTTTGTTATTATTGCTGTTGTATCGCTCGTGCTCTCATCGCCAGCAGCTAACTTGTTTGCACTTCGTGGGCATGCCTGACGTTTACTTATATAAGTACACGAGTAAAATGCAATTAATTCGCCCCTCGGCAGGGACACGGCAAGGCGCACATGACGTGTCAAAAGCAATGGCTCGTTACCTGTATACTTATTTATTTTGGGGAGGTAGCAGCGCACTGTCCCGGGCTACGGCGACCGTATCACTACCATCCCAGGGGGTGGGTGTATATACGTGTATATTATACGTATGGTAAGTGCACCCCCCCCCCTGCAGCCGAATCCTCCGCTCGACCAGCATTGATTTCTGCGTGCGCAACAACACACATGCATGTGCACCCTCTCCACGCTCGATTTTCGGTACAAGTAACAATTATTATCATTATTATTATTATTATTATTGTTATTGTTATACACCTACAAACTACAAACAAGTACAATACCTATAGTTGTATCGATATAATATGCAAAATTTCTCGCCACAACATATACATACTAATTTATACGGTTATCCGTAGCATGCATACTACATGACAATATTAAGGGGTTTTTTTTTTTTCAGTTTCAGTTTCAGTTTCAGTTAAAAAATTATTTTCAGAAAACTGTAGTGTATCATTAGAATTTTATGCTGTAGTTAGTTTTTAAGAGATACATAGTATATTAACTACTGCTTATTTCCTCAATTTTTAAAACGTATACATAATATATATGTTTGTTGCTTATACAATATATATATATTATTGTGTCAGATGTCCTTCACTTTCCAAAACGAACCACGTTCGGTCCATATCCGTTAAAATGCTTCTTTACATGCCTTAAAGCTAATGATATTTTTAATCCCTAAACTTGAAAATTTATTGGTGCCTTCCAGTGCAGTTTCCCCTATGTCGATATCTGCGTTTAAAAAACTTTCATCGGCTTTAAACAAAACAAAAAAATTGCTAACAGTTTTTGACATAAACAAACATTTTTCAAAAGTTACACTACAATTAAAATCTGTTGATAATTTCATCAAATAAGTACCAGTTAATTTTCTGGTTTTGCAATTTACAAGGTAAATCTTTGCTTGAGCTTCCGGAAAAGTGCCTTGAAAGTTTGAAGTAGAAAAAATGTAATATTAAAATTACCGACCCTATTTAATTATGACATATTTTTATTACATCACGTTAGCGTAAGATACAAGAAAATAAGCTAAAAAGTCATTATTTTGTAATACTGGAAAGTTTAAAAAATAATTTTAACTTTTAGCTGTGAATGGTGCCCATGTATTACTTTTGAAATTTTTTCATTCTCCAGTATTTAAAATTTATTTATGTTGGAGTATTTATAAAATATAACTATTTTTTGTACTTTGAAAATTCAGTAACATTTTTTAAAATGAAATCCATACCTTTCCATACTTATTTTCCAATTCCAGGGTTTTATTGTTAAACCTATAATGTAACATACTTACCTCTGTCTTACAATAATTCCGTTGCCATTACCCATGATACTGCCTGTTGTAACCTTAAGTTTTTTTTTTTTTTTTTTCCCCATACTTGTATGCATAGTGTTGAGAGGTTCTTTGCACCAACTGTAACATTAATCCCTGTGTTTATATTTTTGTGTTTAGTACCTTCATAAGTACTTACATCGGCTTCCATTCCTATGATTCATAAGATATCTAAATTCTAATAGAACTCAAGTATATTATTTTTACTTTTGCATTTGCATCGCCGCGTAGCTTATCTGTATCCGAGTGCTTGTGTTATTTCGTAGAAATAAAAATGTACATGAAAAATATTTCATTGAAAATAAACTCAACTTAACGTAATCTTGATGTAAGGTTATAAGAGGATCGTCTAATAATAATATATTTATACCTATCTAGTTACATGTTTTTTTTTTTTATTATTTCTTTTCGAAAGGCTAACTAAAATATAATTATGCGTATTATTACCTACAGGTGTACCACTGAGCCGCTCATTTATTTATATCGAAAAAAATTTCTTTGGCCTTAGTTCAATAAGTATTTTCTTTTTAATAAAAAAACACTTAGTTCAACAGCANTATTAATTATTTTGTATAAAATTGTTATGTACAAAAACGAAATGATGCAAAAAAATTTTTTTGGCTAATTTGAAACGTTTTTCGTTAATTTAATTTTTTTAAATGTACCCGAGCAAAAGATTAAACGCTCAAATATATCTTGTTTCAATTAGCTCTACAATCTTAGTGTGAAACAGTTAGTTGTAAAATTTCAATTTATTTATCTTACTGTCAATTTTTTTTTTTTTTTTATCTATAAACTCACTATGTTCTTTGTGAAAAATCTTACCTTGTACGTGTTCATATAATTTTTCACGAATTTTATGAGATTTTACGGTCTAGATCACCTGAATCGCTCCAAACATTCGGGCCAGTCTTACACAACCTACGTGAATTTTTTTTCTGTAAATTTTTTTTTTTTTTCATGTTATAATTAATGGCTATGTATAAGTACTCAAACGAATAATAAATTGTCATAAAATGAGTCGGCACCCAAAAAATCGAGTTTTGAAAGATATCGAAAGAGTAATCGATCCTTTCGAGTATATTTTTTGAAGAATCGATTCGAGTAATCGCCCACACCACAAAATATATATGCATGTGCGCTGTCATGTGTCAGCTATAGTCATCTTTTTACTGACTCAGTTCAGTAGTCTGATAGTGTATATAAACATTACTGCGTACTAGTGCGTACCTACATAAACATTTTATCATATAAGTAAAACACGACAAAAAAAGCTGAGATAGAAGAGAGTACAGCTCGTCGCGATTTGCAACCTGTAAATTTACGATACTGATAATACTTATACATTTTTAAAAGACAAGCTGAGGATATATAAATAACAGAGCGGAGAGGCCCTCACTCCCGCACAAACATGTCTTTAAACACGGCACACGCCAACGGTGGTGTATTGATACACTCTGGTGAACTGTAAGTAACCTTATTCTTTATCATGCATGTAATTGTATATTTGTATATATATTTTTGCAATATTTCAATGACGCCTCAATTCGTTGATCAAAGTACTCGGGTTTTCCTTCTTTCTAGAAGTTACTCCAATTTTCGGGTGCGAGAGGAATTGATTTTTTTTATCTTAGGTGTATACTTATACCTACAGTCATCAAGGTTTTGGTCTACCGTGACAGCTGATTACACTCATTGCGTCATTTCGCGAAATTTCTTGTGTTTATATATTTTTTATTTATTTATCCGTCAATACATTATTTATTAGCAGCAGCTATACGTGAAGGTATATATCTTCTTTCTAATAAATAGTTGGATACTACGTATCTGGTTTATGAAAATAATTTATGCACGTAAATATCAGTAGATTATTTCTTGATATGTTTTTCTTGTAAACGGAAAATAATTAATGATTTTATCGCCTTGCTACCTTTAAATGGGTATGAGAAAATTTATTTCCTCACATGCTTGTACTTTTTTTCAGCATACTATTATTTAGTGACCATGTTACCATGGAATTCCATGGCCAAGAGCAGCCAGAGTTTCTTGGACCGAAGAAAGGCAGACTGTACCTGACAACACATAGAATGATATTCAATGCCAAAGACCAAAGAGAAAAAATGCAATCTTTCAGTTTTCCATTTATCACGCTGAACGAAGTAGAAGTTGAACAGCCAATGTTTGGAGCAAATTACATTAAGGGCAAGTGCAGAGCACAGCCTAATGGAAACTGGGTTGGAGAGTGTAAATTCAAACTGCACTTTAAAAGTGGTGGGGCCATTGAATTTGGTACAGCTATGCTGAGAGCAGCTCAAATGGGTAATATAGAAATTTTTTACTTATTGATAAAAAATGAAAAATGAAAAATTTCGTAACTGGAAAAATGATGGCCAAATGGTATCTTATAGCTCAACGAAATGGTCCTGATTCTGATGCTCCACCGCCGTATCAACCACCACCAACAAATTGGTATGCAGCTCCTCCACCAGCTTATCAAGCAGCACCTACAGGATATTATGGATGGGTACCACCCACTCATGCATTCCCAGACCAACCGCCAGGTTTTTACTTCATACCATTTGTTCAAATTTTACAATTTTAAATATTAATATTAAATGTGTTTTGTGTTTGTCAAAATTTTTAACTAATGCATGTATTGCTTGGATTACAATCAAAATCAAATTGTGTGTTATAACTCTGTTACTTCAATGATCGTTGAATATAAAAGTTTTACTTTATTCAAAAATTAAGAACTTTTCTTTACCAGTAGATGGTCAGTATGCACAAAAAATAGTAAATTAAGCACTTGAAGAGCAAAAGTCAATAATATCAGTTTGTACGTTTACTATAATTTATGCTTACTATTTTGAGCTTATCGATACGTAAATTTTAAAGATTAAATTATTTATTAGAAAAAAATGATTTCACTATCTCAGATACAATGTATTTTGTAGGAAAATTCAAAGTTTTTTAGCTATTGGGTATACGTCGATTATTAGCTTTTATTGATGGTATTAATAAAATTTTCAATTGGGTAATGCATAAATTTACGGAAATTATCTACCATTTCATGAATTTTTCATTATACCGGAATAACGCAGCTGTAATACTGTTACCACTACCAAAGTCGAGCATACCTTGTAAGTCGGTCCATAAAGTTTGAGGCACGAAAAAAAAAAAAAGTATTTTGCATCAAAAAGCCAGTCATACATACATACCTGCAACAACAACTATACCTATATGTAGACACCTTCTCGCACCAACTCGATGGTTGTGAATAATGCAGTTGATTATAAAAACCGTCGATGTGTGTTTCTCCAACAGCGAATAGCGTCTTCATGACGGACATGCCGCCACCCTACCCCGGTATAAACGCAGCTTATCAGGGCTATGACGGTCCAGCCGCTCAGCAGCAGCCAGGAGCCTGGGGTCCGACCCCCGGTGCGAACCCTCATCCGCAGCAAAACGGGGCACCCGCCTGGGCCAACCCCAATTACAATGGTCAGCCAATGTCCCAAGCAGGTCTGTACCCCAATCTAGGAATGCCACCAGCCAATCCTTCAAATATTCCACCATACTCGCCTTACACTCAGGCACCGGGCTATCCTCCTCAAGGTCCCCATCCACCCCCACAGCCCTCGCAACCGGGGCCATACGGTCAGCCTGGAGGATATCCTTATCCTTATTAAAATGTTATTCGTAAATTGGCGAGTTCAGCGATACCTGCTGTTTTTTAGACTGTTGCAAAATCACGAAATATTATTTCGTTTAGCTTATTACTTTTTATCCCTTTTTTTGTTTTAATTTAAACTAAGCATTAAGTATTAGGGTAAAGTCATTGGTTGCCTTAACTGTTTGTGAGGATTCTTGAGAGGAATTTTGGATTATTCGTTGCACATTTTTCTCCACTACTTTATTACGAAAACTGCTATCGATTATTCTTTATTTTCACCAATTTTTTTTTTTTGTCGTGCTTGTAAAAATGAAAAAATGTACAAGTCCCTATTGTTTTTACTTTATGAAAACCATAATAGCAATATTTTGAGGATGAAAAATTCCATGTATATCTTTGTTGACAAAGCTTGTTATTTTGAGTGACTTGTTAATTATGTATTGTAAACCATTAAAGTGATATATAAAATATTGATATTTTTATAATAAATATATTCCACTACACTTAAGATATTTTAGTAGATGAAAAGAAGATTGTAATTTATATTTTCTCGTAATACTTATGAAAAAAAAAAAAAAAAAAAAACGACTGTCTGTATGTCGTCTCTGTCGACTATCTGTTGTTTCGATGAAAAATAATGTGATTAAATCTACGGACACACCCATAACATATACTATTATTATGAAAATAATATCCAAAGTAAAATGTTTTTACTATTAAACGCTGTGACACAACAACTGAAACTGTATTTTTATTTCCAAAACCTCTCAAAAGTTTTCAAAATAAATTTAAAAAAAAAAAAAAAAAAAAAAAAAAAAACAATGGCCACATACTAAGTGGTGTTAATAAAACTCGGGTAACGTTGTATTCCCGTCTTTCAACATCGTAAAGCATTTTCTAGGAGGACAGGTGTGTGCGTGTGCGTGTCTCACAACGGCAGTGGATCACGAAATGTTTTAAAAATTATGTAAGTAACGACAGGTCGTTGCGTAAGCCTCGCGCGCATATCGCAGTATAGTACCCATGGACCGGCGTCTTTACTTTACCCATATACATATATACAACATCGGTCACGAATACATATATTATACCCGTGGCGGCGCACACTCGAATAATTATATATATTTATTAATAGCCGTTATATATAAGCACGCACACCATCACCTTCCAGCTCCAATCGGTTTGGTATATAAGCAAGTTGTACATACAACTATATATACTTACACTCGCCGCCCGGCGTTCGAGGCTATTCTCTTGGCTTTCACTGGTCTTTGGCGAGGCCAAAAAACCCCTACATGTCCCACACACCTGCCTCTCGCGCAGTTTTGCCATAGTACTGCTTTAGCAGGACGCTCGGACGGACGCAACCTTCCGATTTCGATACCGCCAGTTGAAAAACTCCTCCCCGGCTCGATCATTGATTTATCATATATAAGTACTTGCAGAGTTGCGCAGCTTTACTTGCCGATTTTTTGCTTCACGATCGCGCGCGAATACAACATTCGTCGGAAAATCGAAACCGGCGCGTTCGGAGGAGTCGATCGAGTGGACTCGAGATCCGAAGGGCGGGCCGATTTTCCCTTTCTCGGAGGCAGCAGCATCGGCTGCACGAAAGATGCCGTTCAAGGTGACGGCTCGCGCATCGGGAAAGGAAAATTCGCAGTGAAGGGAAAATAAACGCGGGTGTCCTGTTCGGGATAGTGCAGTGTGTGCCTCGTACTTACATGCTCCATTATTATCATCATTATTATGCCGACGAAAAATAACTTTGGTCCGACAAAGGTGTCCCCCTGTACGTGATATCTTTGCTTTTTTCTTCTCTTTCTTTTTGCGCCCGATCGCGATTTTTTTTTAATCTGGTTACTGGTTTTTCCTTTTAATTTCTTTGTCCAATACCTGAATTTTGTTTCGACAATCTAACAATGCCTTATTTTCTCTGTTACGTGCCATTTGTATTTGCATTGTTCCTGTTTTGCTGTTTCATTGAAAACCAAAATTACAGCCTTTTTTTCATTACTGCTCATATTTTTTCACCGATTGATAATAACCTTGTAATTTTTATCAACAGATGCAAAGGCCGCAGAAGCCGCACAAAGTGCTTACTATGATCCGAATCGACCGCAATGTGCTTACGTTCCACCACCAGCGTATTATGTAAGTTGAACGTTTATTTTTATCATTCGAGAAGAAAGAATAAAATTTTCATTGTACCTAATTACTTTTTTTTTTTTTTTTTTTTTTTTCTTAGGAAAGTCCACCGAGTTTCCAACAGGCTACGGAGAAGAAAAACCAATGATGGCTTGTTTGCCCTTCTATAAGAATACTGTGTCAAGACTGATGAGCAACAAAAAAAGCGCCCATCATTTTTCTGTAGCATTTCACCTTTTAATTCCTCAAGCAATTGATATTTTAGCATTCCAGTATATTTTAACACCTCAAAATTCAGAGTTTTTGCAATAGACACGAAACGACAACTTTATTCATGTACAATATATACCATTATTTTTCTTATTCTTATTATTACTGTTATTAGAGTAACTAAGAGTATTCCTCAACTATTATTTCTTATAAACAGTATTGCAGTATATTTGTTGCTGTATGTACAGAAATAAAAGCGTTAAAAAAAACAACGAAAAAAATTTGAGTTTCTCAATTTTTTTATTGAGAAAAATGAACCAACAATTTTAATTAAAAGCTTCGCTAAATTTTAATACAATTACATAGTCTTAAAATTATTTTGTAGTTTTTCAGTCATAAAAAATTCTTGATTTACAAGAAAAATATGGCATTGCAACTGTCTTTTTATCGCATTAAGTATATTTGAACTATTTGTCAATTTTTGGCACTGATTGAATACATTACATCATTAAATAACGCTTTTGTCTTTGAAGACGCAAATTTTCATAAGCTTTAAAAAGTAAATTATTTACAACAAGCATGTACAAAACACTACGAATAAAAATTTTCTACTTCACTTAGTTCTAGTTGTACGTAAGTAGGCAAATCTTGGTAAACATTGTAAAATCCATTAATGTCCTCGTGTATAATCTCATCTCACCCATATTCCGAGGTAATGGTAAGGCTGAACCTCCTGTTTTCCACTTGGGTGCCGTGATACCATATTCTGGTGTCGAGTAAAACAACATCACCCGTGTCGACGAAAAACTTGAATTTCTCGCAGACGTCGTCGCACTCGGGAGTCGGTGCAACGGTCCACGTTTTGCTTCCTATTATTTGTCCTTGCCACATGAGGCGGGAAATATAATCGAGCTGAAAGTTTAAAAGACGTTACATTGGACTTGAACGGTTGCCTATTATAATAACTAATGTAAGTATGCATATTTGTAGAATCACGAGGAATAAAAAATGTAGTTGATTTGTTTAAAACTCACATGCATATTAGCACCCTGATCGTAACCTAAAAATATGTAATTAGTGTTGGGTATCTCCGCATCCTCTGGCAGAAAATGTGGCGGCTGGTAAAACTTGTTCATTATCTGCAAGATCTGGGGATGACAGTTTTTCCAGCCGACGTACCAGGGCTCCTCACCCGGTAGGTTCATCGCTCGACTCTCGCTCATCCCAAAGACTTCCCTCAGATTGGCAAAGTTGCCCCTGAAGGGCAAAAATTGGCCCTCCTCGTCGACGGACTCGTAAGCGCCGTCTATGAGCTCGTACAGACTGCGAAAGAATTGCAAGCTAAAGACTTTGGAGGCCATCCAGTGTCGAGCCGCCTGCTTGACGACTATCGGCTTGGAGGAGTAGGCGTACGGAGCAAACTGTTCCCTCGTGACGTTTTCCAGCAAGAGAGCGGACTTGACGCCACGGCAAAATTCGCAATCCGAGACGGGCCTCGTGAATTCCCACACCAGGTAGTTATTTGGCACGAGGCACCTTGTGCCCTCGATGTGTTTGATCACGTACTCGAGACCATAACGCTCGATAACAATGCTGTACAGGATCGGCAAGAGTAAAATTAAAACGAGCAGCTTGAAAACCGACCTCTTCTTGGGGCTATCGCCATAACGACGATCACGATTGATATCATTGTAGTTGCTGCCGTTGTTCCTGATGATTTTCATTTCTTTTTCGCAGGCGCGTTTTAAATCCGCCAAAGAGGCTCCTCGCTTGACAAAGTCTCGGTTCAGCCGCAGAAATCTTTCTCTCACCACCTGTGAAAGCTGATCCTGCCCCGGCATCGTTTTTATCATTGTTGCCGTTTTTTCTTAACATCTCAAATGGGTAAGCGCGCCGAGTCAATGATTCTTCTTGTTAAGTATACAGTACTTGGCAGCTGTTCTGTGAATCCGTGACGATTGAGCGCCTCTTCAAAACCCTGCATTAATTGCGCGATTGCTGATGAAAAACACAAATATGTGTGGTGATTATTTGTAACGACAAAAAATTTAAACTGATGTAAAATTACGAGAATGAAAATATTTGTTCATTAATCAGGATGACGGGAGCAATGAGGACCGAGAAAAAAAAATATACCAACTCGTTTTTTTTTTCCACGCGTGTACCACACTATTATACGTAGATACTCAAGTTGGGATTCTCGAGTCATACTCGAGGATGTAAATGACTAACACACGCACTGCATGCTGTACCTACTTAGTATAGAAGAAGCTTTGAAATACTTAAGTAATTAATCATACTTGGATGCTTAACACGTGTGAAACACGAACACAAGAAACATTTGTCACGAAGAAAAATAAACAGACGAGTACTTAAGTGTATACTTTGCAAAATGTAAGACTACATATTATAAGATAGGACGAGTTGTGCTTTTTATTTCCACGTATGTACTTATGTACATACAACGTACAACGTAGTATATAATGTAATGTATACAACACAACAGCCTTGAGCCGGTTATTGTCTATAGACAACAGCGCGACGCTGCTGCACCGACCAACTGATGCGAGCTCCGCTCGTTTTGTTGCTTACATAAACTCTCGTAAACTCTCAAGTACCTATATAATATATTCTCTTTGGGTTAACGAATTTGCTCGGTGTAAAGGTGCTGTATAAATATACAAGTATATATACCAAGTACAAGTCAAAGCAACGAAGAAGGGGAATTATTATTGATTACACAATACATACACTTTTAAGTGTATATAGTATAGTCATGTACATGTACGCAACTACGTGCGGGAAAAAAGTTTAAAGTGCCGATTGGCTGTAGGTGTGTACATACCCGCAGTCAGCCGGCTGGGGGCTTTGCAGCGCGTATAGGTATATGTATTTATTACATGTTGAAAAGTGCGGGAGTGCATGCTATACTACTTCACTATAATACATTATAATGTAAAAAAAAGTGGTACCTATATATAATATATGTATATACACACGGTCTTTTATTTCGGAGCAATTTCCTTGCTCGTACGATCGTAGTATTTGAAAAAATATTTTTTATTAGTTTCGGCGCGATTTTCGATTAAAAAAAAAAAAAAAAAAAAAAAATTAATGTTTAACCCCACAGGCACGCACAATATTCACATACAATCCGATTGAATGCATTGTATGATAAACTTGAATGAATTCCGTCGAACGATATTGAAAAATATATATGTTTTCTGCTCAAGAAATACAATTCTTTATTGGCTAATTCTTTGTGGATAAGTATATTTTTTCATAGTGATCAAGATTACGTGCAACGGTAATCGTTTTTATCGTTACACGTAAAAAACTGTCAACACTCGTTGGCTTATTAAAAGACGTGAATCATGATCTACAGTGGTAGGTACTGGTATATAGTACAAGTAATTTGATCGATCGGAAAAAGAGAAAACGAAACAAATATGAACAGTCGCGTAATTATTCACGCACAAAGCTCTCGCACAACTTACACGTTGAGATGCCGATGGCTTGCAATCAGTCTGCAACTCTGGACGCGAAGGAAATACTCGACGCAAAAAAAAAAAAAATAGAAGCGGCGGAGGAGAATGTATACATGCTTAATACGCTCCGGCCTGGCCGTGAACTGACTGACGAACATCTGCTTCCTCGAATATTATAGTTATTGAATGGGAGGCTGGCCGAGACGCTGCACGCGAGACAAGAGAGCTTTTTCTCCCACTTGGGTATACATGTATACACACATGTTGTACTTTCGCTTTCGCTGCTCCCCGAGAGAGGCTCGATGAGACATTTCCGCCTGGTGCACGCAGCACGTGTTCCGCAGCACACTCCGACACTTTTTTTTTCCTTCTCGCTCTTCTGTTCCATCGTACCCGTCACCTTTCAAAAGAACGAGAGCGAAAGAGAGGAGGGGCAGTAGGCTTCTCTTTTTTACATTACATGCGCCGTGGCAGAGGGGATCCTTTCGCTATTACAAAAATATAACAAAAAGTTTCGGAAAACCTTTGCCGATCTCAGCCAATGTGGTAGCCGAGAATTTGTGTTTGCTGTTGCGCATTCCTTTTTTTTTTTTTCATTAATATTTTCATGATCTACGATATAATAATTTTTCCATTAAATACTTTATGTCATTTAAAAATGCCAAGTGAGTGCGAGGAATGTATTATTACCTGAAAAAATCAAAGTACTACGTGATTCGCTATTTTAAATCACTTTATTTCATGGAATCACACTGTTTCAGGGTTTTTAATAATGTATATTTTTATACAACTAATCGTAGAAGGATATATTTTCGTGATTACGATCAATGTATCGTACCATTCGAGTCCAGGATTTAGTTTCTAATTATCATTATTCGTTATTCCATTGACGTCTTTTTTCCTGTACTCAATCGATTGTACAAAATATCATTATAAAGTTATAACTATACAACTTAGAGTCGTTCTCTCTTTAAAGTTTGATATACATAAATTATTGTATATAACATTATAAATTTGTGCTGCTTGATTGAAGATGCAAAGTCCATACTCAAGTTATTTATTTTTTATACGCTTATTTACTCTTTATTCAGTATTCATGATGATTAACTCATCTGTGACAATGTTTAATTTCGAGAACTTCGTTGCTTTACCATATAAATATATTTAAACAATTGCGTTTAACGCATCAAAAATCATTGTTTTAATTTACTTTTTTTTTTTTTTTAAAGCGTCGAACGCTGGTTGAGATGTACTTTATTGAACAATACCCTTACAAATGTAAAGTGATGACTTCTAAATACAAGATCCCTGATTGTTAATAAACTTTTTTTTTAATTTCGAGCAATGCATCTTTAAAAACAAGACGGCAAAAGTAGATCACAGAAATTTCTAACACATGTATAAAATACGAAATACCGCTTATATAATATATGTATATGCTATGATTTACAAGTCTTGAGTAATTTTTATGATTACTCATGATTATTTATCTCTGGATAGAATATCATATTGAAAACAATTTTAAATTAATTTCATCCATTAAAATAACAATAGAGAAAAAAAAATTAGTTAATATTTTATTTCGTTGAATTGGAACTTTACTTGTTATTTAGATAAATGAAATTTACTTGCGGACTGACTGCTGAGAAATATTTCAGCTTTTTGAAAATTATAAATTACTGAATAGAAAAATTTAAGACAGTTATGTATATTAAAAAAAATCCCAATTTCCAGAATAGGCAGTTTGTTTGCACGGATTTGACTAATTTGTGTATCCCTTATTCAGCATAATGTTATGAATGCCTGACTAGCATACAGTTGTTTGTTGTGATGTTCAATAGCCGATTACGCTTAGTTTAAGAGAAGAAAAACAAAAGATGTAAAATACACCAACACTCGATCAGAAATAACACCACTTACCAAGAACGGAGTCTTTGATTGATTGAATGTATTGCGTTGGAACCCAATATATCCAATATCTCGATGCTTCTGTTGTGCCCAACTGTAAACCCTAAAATAATAATTTTTTTTTATTTATATAAAATTTAAAAAATATACACTACATTATACGTTGATAATTGACAATGAAAATCCTAATATCTGAACAGTGGATAACATGGTGAAATAACAAGTTCTTGAATCATTGACGGAGTTGGTGATAAAGAAAATGTTTTTTACACCTACAACTAAAATTTTTGGCTTTCTTTTAATATAAAAATTAATCAGATATTAGGTTTTCCACCATATTATAGATTACAAACCACAATATGATATTCAGGATGATCATGAATCGGTTCAGTGTGAACATCTTTTATATTAGTCATAGATAATTTATCCGTCCTATCTTTAGTACCAATCCACAGCTGATCTTGTTCCAATTTGAAAGTTAGTCTTACTTTATTACCAGATTTGTTCAGCATACCAACTAAGGGATAACTAGGAAGTGGTTCCTAAAATATGTTTTTTAAAAGATGAATAATTGATAAATAAAATAACATTGTTTGTTTGATCACAAACTCCGGAAACGAAACATCATTTAAAAAATGTGATGCGAATCAAGTTTTGTTTCTTAACTACTACTGTTAAAAAAATGCATATCACACCTGGGTATCCAAAATACCCGGCATAACGTCCTCTGGTAATCCTTTATCTAAAACTTTGCGGTGTACTTTTTGTTGCGAAAGAGGTTCCTTACTAACAGCTGCTGCTGCACTTTCTTCAGCGATTTCTTGTTTCGTAGGTATAGAAACAGCTAGAACGTCATCTAGCTTTGATCCAACAATCATGACTTTGGCACCTGTAACAACAATTGAAACGTTATTTAGCATTCGAGGCCTGTTGCATTCATTGTGCTGTCCGAATTTTGAAGCATGCATCACTCGTGACTATATGGAAGCAGCATCATTTGATATGAACACCTCACCTTTTGTTACTCCTAAACTTCTCAGAGTCTGATCATCTTTGGCCAATCCCTTGATCATGATTTTCTGCATTGCCTCTGGCACATTGATGATGTTATGAAGGTATGTTTTGAGCTCACCAACAGTGCCATCCAGTGCAAAAGTAACATCTATCTTTTTCTTGTTGAAGATGACTTTAAAGTCTATCTTCTCGCCTGTATCTTCCATAGTTTTGTCGACAGCAGTAGCATTTTCTTCAGCTTTACTTACACTGCTACTGGAGTCGTTATGACTTTTTTCACCTGAAGTCTGCACCGAATTAGAGTTTGGCAGAACCTCTGGACAAGTTGTCGTGTTGCAGCATTCTGGAATAAGCGTAAACATAGATGCATGCAAGTATTTAGTGAATAAATACTACCTACGCTCTCTAATTATTCTACGATGCTCAGTTCTATATACTTTAAAACACATGGGCAAAAATTCTTGTTTTAATTTTAATGTAGTCTAACAGATAATAGAAAAGCAGTTGGTTCATTGATTTACCGTTTATATTAAGATTTTCATCAATTTCAGGGACGAGATATACTTGACAAGCAAACAATTAGTTAAACTATATCCAAGTAAATATCCATCATGATGAATAGACAAAAAAAGAAAGTCATCACGTAGGTTAAGTTTAAAAAAAGACGAGTAGAAGAAAATAGCTTCTCAAAAAGTATCAATGAGTATACGGCTTCGAAAAAAAGGGAAAGCAGGTCAATGCACTTACCCACATCCATCTTTCACGTGTTCTTTCAGTATACAGTTGATCTTTCTTCCTGCAAAAAATCCTTGTTATTGTTGTTGTTGTTGTCGTGACCCTCGATAGGTATATATAAAACTGACTGTGTTATGTATACATACACTTGTATGTACATAGAAAATAAGTAAGAGGTGGGGCTTACGCACAGAGCTTCTGTTCGTGCATATCAGCCGGATATCAGTTAAAAGGAGGAGGAGTACTTACCTGCCGCCTTCGCTATTATTATTTTTTATTATTTTTATGATGAAGTTGTTTCTCCGCTCTTCCAAATTGACACCGTGAACAAGAGGTGTGTGTTTAGGAGGTAGTCCTCAGAACTCGGAAAATTCATCTTTACGTTAGAGTAAGAATTTTCTAAATAGTCCTTGATACATCAGCTCTAAATTTCTTTGCAATAATATAGAATGATATTGTAAAGTACATGTGATCTTAATTGATTTTGCTGATTTTTAGTGTTTCAGCTCCAACATTTTTCCTTATGGAGGGGATTGAAGGATTCAAAAAGTTTACTTTTACTTTACCGGTTTACTCTATCGGTAAACAATGTTTTTTTGTGATGATTTATAATTATTCAAGGATATAATATATATTTAAAGAAGCAAAACCTCAAGATCAACCAATCGAACCAATATTGTGCGTTTATAAGAGCTTAAAGTAAGTATCTGTCTATTACCACACAAATATTGGATTTATATCAAAAGAACAGTCCGGAGATGGATAGATTCCTACCTTACCAAAAAAGTAAATTTGATTATTATATAATATATAGCTTTGCAACTCTAATTATTAAAATAACTATTGAAAAATTTTTAAGTCTCGAAATTTTTTCAACGGCGGCCTCATAAACAACTGTTATTCCATAAGATTTAACATGCAAGGTTACTTTTGAAAGTTACTTCTTGACATTTCAAAGAATGAATCAAGCTGTACTTAATTTGACGATACTAATTGGGAATTCAAAGAATAAGACACAAAATAAGATTAGTATGTCAAACGAACGACACAAGATCTAATTTTTCATCGCCTCTCTCTCGAACTAAAATTAATTTTCAATTGTTCTTTGTGAGACGAATGTGCGTCAATTCTGGTTCTTTGCGTAAAAAAATAAATTAATTTTTCGAAGTGAAACAAATCAACTGATGATCGGTAGGAAACTGATATTGTATATAATGCAAATAACTAGATTTTTTTTCTTTTTATTTAAGGTGAAACAACTTTTTTCTCTTTCTATGATATTGGATAATGTGTATTTTATGCCATAAGCCATAAGCACATAATCAGTTGAAAGCTCCTAAATAAACTGATTTTTACAATCAATCTTAAAAAATAAATATGCTTTTATGAATAGTTAAATAATAAAAAAAGCACGCTCCCTGACAGAGTAAACTTGAGTTTACCACCACGAGAAAAAAAGAGTAGATATTCAGATTTTTTAATTATTATTTTTTAAGTTTTTTCTTTAATATTAATTAAATTCTTGACTTTTGTTAAAATTGCGGATGCTCGAATATTTTTTTATTTCCACATACGAAGTTTCATATAAGTAAAACTTTAGTTGTATCAAGCTCAGAACAGTTGCTTTAGCGCTTTTCAGCAGTGCCAGCGGAGAGCAGAGTCAATAAGATACGTTTATAAACTAATAAGCACGACGAGTAGTTGCAGGAAAAATTATAGATATTTACATATACCTAGATGTAAGATATTTTTGGTTTTGGTCAACAAGTCAACTACCTACATAATCTGTAACAATAACATATGAGGAGGTACTGCATTACACGGCCAGATATTCGCGACCCCTCCGATGAGTTGAGTGACACTGAAGTTATATACTAAAGTACATGATTTCAGTGTCACTCAACCGGTGGAGGGGCCGAGAATATCTGATGGCCGTCTATATATTGATACGGTATGGTAACTGTGGTGGCGCTATTGTATAATAATAATAATAATCATAAGTGAGTAAGTGAGTATGCGATTTGCGAAGTACGAATGCGACCATCTGCAGGCGCAGGCACGTAAAAGTAGCAGTTTTCGATTCTGAGTCGGAGTCCCGCGCGATTGACGGAGGGGTTATGAGTGTGTGCGCGCTACCGTCGTCGTCGTCGTCGTCGTCGCCGTCGCTACCGCTGCAGCAGTCGCTCCCGCGCACTGATTTCTCGGACAAACCGGGCCACCCTCTTCTACTTCTCTCGTCCCCAGCATCCCGGGTGCTTCTACGAATATATAACTGAAAGAGACTATACTTAAGTAAATAGTGTTCATTAACAATCCTTGCAGCGGTTGAGCAGAAGCTCCCCCGCACACTATCGTAACAGTTCCACATAGGTACAGAGAGACGTAGACACGGCACGCGTTACAGTTGGTATAATAACAGCTCCTCGGGGCGATGCCGCCGAAGAAGCGGGACAGGGAGTCTGATGCGAGCGCGGTCTCTGGTCTCGGGCTCCAACACCACCATCACCATATCTACAATCAGATGCAGTCGCAGCCACAGCAACAGCTACAACAACAACAACAGCAACCGCTGCCGCCACACGCCCAGCCCACTCCAGCCAGGATGGATCAAATGCACTCGCCTAACAACGAGCTCTTCCTGCAGGCTTTCGAGAGTGAGTAGCTTCATTTTTCTTATATGCATTATACTAGTGCTTTGCCGTGCACCAATAATGACCTTCGAACCGTACGGTTCCCCAAAATTTAAACCTAACCTGGCGCGCGTCCATTGACAAACTCCTCGGGCCCCTTTTCTCATTAATAGCATCTTCAAGTCCCCATCAATTAAGTTCAATTGAGTTAACCAACTGATTACCCATGCACTGCAATGAAGGAGTAACGTAAATTTTGTTCAGGTACCGACCTTGTTTATAACTATCCTCAAGTAATGGGAAAGTTTCTTTCTCTCGTTAAAAAGTGTGTGCCATTGGAGAGGCCTTTTAAGTCCGAAATCCTCTAAAGCTAATACGATTTGTCAAAAAAAGTTGAGTATTGTACCAAACCCGAGCTTGACAAAAATTTATGCTTACGTTTCCTTGTTTATCTTACAATTTGTCGTCGATTAAGAACGAAAATTTTTTTTCTCGAGGTACAATATTTAAGTATCTACTAGTATTAAGTATCTCATAGTACGCATTTTTATTGTAAGAGCAATCCATTGGCAAAAACCAAACGGTACGATCAGTTTTCATTTTGCATCCAATATACATTAATGGAATCCATACGTGCTACTTCGGTATAACCGGAACGTTACAATTGTTACAAACTAATAAAAGCGTGTTAAAAAGGAAATGAAGAGTGCATAGGTTGAATTAAAAAGAATTTCAAAGTCGCCGTGTAAGTACTTGACAAAATTAATTATTATTCTAAAAAAGGGTACAGGCGCGAGGCGCACTTCGAAAGCATAAAAAACGTCTAAAAATTAGCGAGTGAAAAAAGCCCAACGGATAGTGGTACTTACACGCGATTGTAAATCAGAAATATATAAAAATTGAAAAAAAAATTTTGTAAACCACGAAGTAAGTACTTATTATACGAGAGCAGCAGGGAAATGTCGTAAGTCTTGGTGACTCGAAATAATTTTAATACGAGAATTGGAGTATCAGCTTCACCTTATGGTAGCTGATAAATGATAAGAAAATATTAATACTTAACGTGCAAATAATTATGTTGAACCGTATTCCCGAAATTAGTGTAAAAGCAAGTAGCCCATACAGGTATAAGTGTATTATATCACGTACCGATAACTGATTTTGACTTCATCTGAATATTTAAGCTTACTTAGTTACGTAATTATATTTTTAAAAGTCTAAGAAAACAGTTGTACCATTATTTTTCTAATGGTCACTAGAGTAGGTACATTATGAGTAAAACATCTCACAGTCAACAAAATATTCGCTCAAGTGAAGCTAATTAGCGAGCGCGTAACCTTATACCTGTTACAGCATTATCATTCAGTATTATCAATAATATATATTATACTCGCTATGGTGCGATTATGCACCACACTTGACTCACGTCTGAAAATCTTTCAAGCATTCTCCCGCTGTATTTACTAAGTATGGCCAAAATATCCCCCAGTTGCCATGTGTATTTGTTTTATTATGATAAAATATACTTATAAGTTTAGAAGTTCCCTGCACGAAGACGAAAAGCAGCAGCTCCACCAAACACGACCATAGCTGTTGCCTGCTAGTCAACCATTTTTTCGTCTTCCTCTTGTACTTATTCACCTCTCTTTTCTTTGCACGTATACGTGTATGTACGTATTGGGCACTTGCATGATATACTTACAGTTTGCAAGTGTTTTTCTTTTTTACGTCCTTCAGCGCGAACGGAAGATTTTAAATAAATTTTTCGTTTTTCTGCAAACAATGTTAATAAATTCGGTGATAGTAATGAGATAACTTGCATGGTACTTATTTTTAGCAAGGTATTTTTTCGATGCTCGTGCGATGGAGTTCGTGTCAAATTTTAATACTTTTAACTTATACCCGATACATTGACAACATACGACAGTCTGTACAAAAAAAAATGCAACTCAGATTTTTCTATTTGAAATAATAACAGAAAAATCAGAGTTGCGCTTTTTTTGTACGAGTTGTTGATCAATTTAGTTACGGAACAAGTTACACTCTTGTATAGATGGCCAGCGTTGAAAAATATACAATTTAACGATGCCGTCCACAAAACATATATTCTTTCTCGTTTCGAAAGATAATGACTGCGTGTAGACAATATTTCTAATTCATTTATTTATCTTAATTGTAAGATAAGTAAGGCAGTATGTGAAACACGTGCATATTTATCATTCCATTTATGCAATAGATCGATTGTCATTAAATTATTATTTAAGTTTACGGGATCAGAGGGTCATAGTCTGCCATATGCGTAACAAGTTCGAGTGCACAGACGTCTCGTATCAAAACGAGATTCACCTCGGTCATCATTTCCCGTTCTGAATCCCAGAAGGATCAACGTTAACTATGTATTCCCAAACCTTTTGTAGACTGTCTCTTTTAATTATGTTGTGGATTACGCTTGCCATCTTGCGACCGTGACTCGAACTTCGAAACTTTCACTACGAAAACTTAGTCCAACATATCATACAAGACTATATCTTGGCAAATAAGTATATATTAATACTAAGTAATGCCCAAAAATATTGAGGTAACTCTTTGCTTCTGAATATAAAATTGTAACTTCTTTTAAAACAATTATTTACTAGTAATTAGATAAAGAGGAGTATAATTTTTTTCGTTTTTCATACTAAATATTCGAATAATGGCAATTGTAAAATTTGTCTCTGTCTCTTTTGCTTTTCATTTCTCTGTTTCTCTTCTTCATGGATATAAAAAAATTTCATCTATACCGGAATGTTGTTATCGACAATAGTCAATGCATCAAAATTCATACGTCAAGTAGTTGTTTTTATGAAAAAGCAAAATCATACGAGTTTTCATATATTTTCGAATACATTTATTTCATTAGTAGTTATAAAAGTATAATTTCTCTGTTATGCGTGATGACTACATTTTCGTTATTACTAATCGTTATATCGTTCAGTTAGAGAAAAGTGTATTGTACAAAAAAGTTTTATACACATATAACTTTCTCCCGTAATAAACTTCGTAAAACGTCAATTTGTAAATTTATAACGAAAAAAATCGATTTTTTTTTCTCTCCAAAGTTAAATAGTTCGTAGAAGTATACTAGATAATTATTTTTTCATAAAATCTTTCCGAATGCAAACCACAACGTTATAATGTGGAAATAAAATGAGTCTAAAAGGATGGATGCTGCTTTAGTTAGTCTTAAAATTTAATTACTTACAGAGTTTACATGCATTATTAGTCCACACGAAATTTACGCTCGTTACACAGACGATGGGTTCGGTCCAGTATGGGGTTATACTCTTCTTGTTCTGGTAACAGTGCAAATTTCTCCTGCAGTCGAGTCATGGTTAAAAATACGAGAATTTTTCCATAAATCGCATCTAATTTTCATCGCCAAATATTGTGAAGATTGTCCACCAATTTAGTAATAAGACGTGAAATGCAAAAACAATATTGGCTATTATCACTGTAGGAAGATAATCTTTATTATTTATCATATAACACATAAATCTATGGAATATGAGAAGAAAATGGAGCATTTAAGTAGGGGGGCTTAGACTTGCGTTTTCTAAAAATTTGCAAAGAGAATAAAATTGTAAAAAGGAATAATGTTCAATTTCTTTGTTTCAGAACCTACTCAGATATATCGGTTCTTGCGTTCACGAAACGAAGCATCGGTAAGTACATTACATAAAGCAACATTTAATGTTACAAAGGCAATCCCATATTGAACGTTAACAGTTTATACCCGCAATCGTAGATTTTTGTTCGTACACACCATAATTACTATAAGTGGTATACACATTTACCGACAAGCGAGCGATTATTTGATATTTTTTTCAAATGATGTACTTTTAATTTTTTTTGCTCATGCTTATTTTTGTCAATCCTTCATTTTATTTTACGTTACGTAAAAGCTGCTACAACAACAACAACAACAACAACAACAACAACAACAACAACAATAATAATAAGAATAATAATAATAATCTAGCACCGAAGGAAGAAAGAATGAAACAAAGTGTTCGACGTTTTACGTAAATCGTTCATTACTGTGTTGATGAGAAAAACGGGATGATGTATCGTGCTAGATCGTAAAGCTTAAAAAATGTATGCTAGTTGTAAAAAATTATTGTTGTGTTGCAGCCAATATTTCTGTACAGAAACTTGACGTACATGAGACAACGTATGTCTCGAAGTCACAAGTCTCGGCAAGGTTTTCGAGTGAATTCGATACTCGACAAAGTAAGGGCCAAAAAGGAACAGGAGCATAACCGCAACTACTTGACCCTCACGTTCCTCGGATTTTACGATAAACAGCGTAGGTTTTTACAACAATCATAACTCCCAAATGCCGTTGATGAGTATTTATGCACTTTCTACGACTTGCTCTTGTATTTTCAGTAGAATCTACTCAAGATCGCGTCAAAGTCGAAACTTTTTTGTTAAAAATTTGCCACACGAAGCGCAAAGACGTTAGCTCGCCCATAATGCAGGTCAGTATATTACCTATACATGTAAATCCAAACGAAATGACGTTTTGCCGTATCACCGGTGCAGTGCAGTGAAAAGGGCGCAACCTGATGATTTACTTTGTGCAGGTTTCTATGGGCGTGAGCGAGGTACCGATAAACCCTACCGATAATCAACCGATAAGGATACCCGCCATCTCCATACCCAGCGAATCATTTAGTTTAAATAACGGCCACGTGGCCAAAACGTACATGCTGCTGCTTAAGGTTGTGCACTGCGTCTCTAATAGTGGATGCCCCACGCAAAACTGTGATATAGAAGGTACGTAATCATTTTTTCAATCAAATCTTTCCGAATCGGATATCTTTGGAAAGATAACCGGATTTCTATGTAATTGTGGGTACAGTTGTTAAAAGTGAACGAAATGCTAGCGTCGTGTAAGTATTCGTACCGTTAAAAGAAAAAAAATTATTTCAGAGCCAGCGCAAAAGCGGCGCAAGTCAGCCAACGGTACTGCCATAAAAACAAACAACGGTGAGGAGATGAAGCTTTACGGCTCAGAACTCATCGTCTACGACAAATACAATCGCTGCCAGTTAAGGGATGGTGAGTACGTACTCAATCTCCAGGAGGTTCAGGTCAATAGCACGAGGTGCAGTCCAAAGAAGCACAGTGCCTGGGAGACGATCCCAGACATCAAAGACAGCGTACCTTTCGAGGTCTTCAGTCGCGGTCCCTCGATCAAGTTCAAGCTCTGCTGGGTCAACGAGGCCAGCAACGGCTTCGTCGAGCGGCCGTCTTCAAATCCACTGCCAAGCGTTGACAATAAGGAAAATCGACCCGGAAACAGTCAGTACTTTTATTATCATCGTTCTATTTAATTTTTCATTTTAAAAAACTTTTTTTTCAACTAACGACTGTATTTGTTAAAAAAAAAAAAAAAAAAAAAAAAAAAAAATTAATGTTTAACCCCACAGGCACGCACAATATTCACATACAATCCGATTGAATGCATTGTATGATAAACNTACTGTACTATCTGACACTTTAAACCTCATTCTGTAAATATTTTTAAAACATTCAATCCTAAATTTTTGTTCTTTAAAAAGTATATTCATAGTTCGGGGTAACAGTTCAAAATCGATAATGTAAAGCTTTTTTACTCTAGTCAACAATATGTTGATTACTACTATTATTACTAATAATAATAATAATACAACACTGCCTACACCTAGTCCGCTTGCAACTTCGAAAATTTCAGTTGCAAGCTCAGATAAAATAGAAGCAGCCAAGGGAAAGCAGCAGATTGTCTACCAGTTTATGTACAATAATAATAGTAGACAGCAGACCGAAGCAACGGCAGATTTTCATTGCCCCTGGTGTTCGGTCGACTGTGGTAGACTGTATTCACTCTTGAAGCACTTGAAACTGTGTCACTCGAGATTCACCTTTACATATACTGTAAGCAACTGTCAGTTTGTAAAAACTCGATAGGATAGTTTTTGCTCTTAATTTGATCAAGTTACATTTTTTTTCCATTCATTCAGCCAACACCCCAAGGTGCTCGAATAGATGTAGCCATTAATGAATGCTACGATGGTTCTTACTCTGGTAGTCCACATGAGTTAATTTCTCAGCCTGTCAACGAGGACTCTAAAAAAGGGCCTACGAGACGCACTAGTGTCACAAATATTGTCGTGTGTCGACCTAAAAGACCAAAGCCAAGCCTTTCGGAATTTTTAGAACTCGACGAAAATGAGTTTGAAAATTCTCGGCCCTACATATCTGGTCACAATAGGTGAATAAACATTTTTGTTTATATTTATTTAATTACTTTTAGAAAAAAAACTTTGCTCAAGGGAAGGTGTATCCGCATATTGAATTTCCAGATTATATCATCATACAGTTACGTGTTTACCAATTTATCCGAAAGAGTTGGATGTTGATTCGGAAGGTGAAAATGATCCAAAGTGGCTACAGACGAAAACTGTGATGATGATCGACGACTTTACGGATGTAAATGAAGGAGAAAAAGAACTTATAAAGATGTGGAATCTTCATATTATGAAGCATGGATATGTGGGTGACTGCCAAATTCCATTAGCATGTCAAATGTTTCTCGAAATGAAAGGCCGGGAGCTTCTTATGAAAAACCTCTATCGCAACTTTGTTTTGCACATGAGCAACCTGTTTGACTTTGGTCTCGTAAGTCCTGTCGTTTTGTACCAGACAATTCAAAAACTTCAAGACTTGATGAAAGATGAAGGTGAAGATGGAGATATTCGTAAAGTTCTGCAGGAATCGCATGCAGTTCAAGTCGAAAGGTGGATCACCAATGGCAGCCAGAATTCTTCAGAAGTTCAGAAAACCAGTAAGTATGAAAAAAAAAAAAATGTAAATAAATAAAATAAAATATAGAAAAAAAAAGATATGATGGAAAATAAATTGTTTACAGTAACCATCAGTCAGGCCAGTAAAGTGAATTTCAACAATGAGCCAACAAATTCGAATGCAAGACGAAAGACGACGTTACCAATGGGCTCGCCTCCAGGCACCAATATCAATGGTATCAAACATCCGAGCATGATGGCTATAAAGGCAAATAATATTGCAAAGGATAACCAAATAAATAGTGACCTGCCACTAAGTAGACGTAAGAGCACAAATTCCGTTGTTGTGGAAGATAGCACTTCAAGTGCAGCCATGGGTTCAGCGCATATGAGACGAAAATCCATGGCTAATGGTAGTGATAGTGTCAGCGCTGACTTTCCCAAACGAAAATTAGTCTTAGATGTGATGCCGGCTAGTGCTAATACCAATCAAAAGACATCTCAAAATGGCACTGTGTGTTAAAACCGCAGTCTACCAGCGACTTGGCTATTATAGATTTTTTGCATGGAAGGGATGTTCTTCATTGATAAACTATTTCAATGGAATGTGTATGGATATTTTAGTTTTATCTGTACAAGCAAGACATTGAATTTATTAAATTACATTAGTGTTTGCAATGACTGTATACTACAAGTATTTGAATCATTAAAAACATTTTTTTATACTGTTATTATTTTTGGGGGATATAATAATCCAAGCGATTGAAAAATACAAAAGTCTTTTTAGTGATCATTCTTTTTGTCAATAAGGAATGGAGAATTTATACAGTTTAAAAATGTATAAGCTACGCATTTTAGTAGTTTGTTGATAACAGTATGAGGCTGATCTTTATATTTAAATAAATTTCTTTGAGATGTTGATTTATCAAAATATTTTATGACATTTGGATTAATTAGATTTCGTGAGTCTTTAAAACCAAACATGACTTTTATTCCTCCAATATGACTTTACATCATAAGCATACTCCACCTCGTGCATTGTGTTTACAATGTTTTTGTACAGTATTTGTTGCACGTAATGAATAGTGAAGTTGTATAAATAATTGAATGAATCATTGTCGATTTCTGCGGAAATATGTAAGTTGGTATGAAGTGTTTGTTACTATATCACAATCTGGTAATTTTTTTGTCATGAAATAATTTACTTTTTTAGTAACACTATTTTCTTGATTATGTTGAATGTTTCTTAGTCTCTGCAGTTATAAAAAATACGATTCAAGTGACAAACTCCTATTTGTTGTAAAAGGCTTATTATCCCCTGCAGAGTTCTTCAACATACTTAACCAACCAAGTATGTATTTAACTGTTTATCAAAACATTAATCAATAATCGTTTTTTCAGATGCTCAGTACTTTCAACTTATTGAGTGACAACAAACATTTTTTTAAATAAAAAATGGTTTTTGATTTTTTTTTTCATTTTGCATGGAGTATGTTAAAATAATCGGTACTAGAATAGTTAAAAAACAAATAAAAGAGATTTTTCCTACTACATATCAAAACTGATGAATGATGAATAAATTTTTTTTACTATCACGGAAAATTTTTACGCTAGTGTTAAGAAAACAGTTATCGGAGCCATTAGGAGTTTGTCACTTGAAATATCCTTTGAGTACTGTACTATCTGACACTTTAAACCTCATTCTGTAAATATTTTTAAAACATTCAATCCTAAATTTTTGTTCTTTAAAAAGTATATTCATAGTTCGGGGTAACAGTTCAAAATCGATAATGTAAAGCTTTTTTACTCTAGTCAACAATATGTTGATATGCTAGTTTATCTGATAAATTTCCACAACTAGTATAAATTAGTTTCCGAAATTTGCCCACTCACGAACATCAAAGTTGAATGAAAAATAACTGATTACTTTTTGAAATATTGTTTAAAATTATTTTCATGTGCACACATTGTTTGAAAAAAGCAAAAGTCAATCAAATAGAAAAAAATCAACATAACTGTAATTCTTCAACTACATACTCCTATCACGTGCATATATGTAACATATTTATTAAATATGTTACACGCATGTATTATACATTCAATATGCATGGAATCATGTATTATAAAAAAAATTGAAAATATACATCCAAATACTTCAGTTAAGTATATTTGAGTGAATTAATGTAGAGTGAAAGTGCCTTTAAAAAAAATTCCAAGTGTTTCACAATGCAGAATATCCACGGAACGACGGTCTGACAATAACTGTGAATTGCATTGGTGACTCAGTTAATTTCCTCCCGATACAAATGTAAAAAGTGAGCGAAGTGTAAAAAAAAAAAAAAATAATAATAAAAACAACAATATTTATATTTAGCCAACCAACGTTGTCATAATATAGTATTTTTCAGCATCGTAACCGTAAGCACTTTCTAAAATTGCATTTCAAATATTGCGTTACGCATAATACGTGCTGCTTTTAGGGCGGTCTTATATGTCAACTAGTTATTTAAAAAAATGTTGATGCGACTTGCAGTAGTCTTAAAAAATTTGCACATCAAGTAATCAATGTATTTCGCGAAAAAGAGGAGATTTTTCACGTAAATAATATTGATGTATATTTTTCACTATGACACGACTATGGGTGCACGTTGCTCAAAGCTAGAGCAATTAATTGTGTCCGATGCTTGTAAATTGATCCGCTAAGCCACTCGGACAGGTCCATTTGTGTACTTATCTACAGATATAAATGTACCTCTGCGACCCACTCCGATCACTTGTCAGCGAAAACACCATTATAATGGCACAGCGCCGGGATCAGAATATGATTCTCGTGTTAGCTTCGGATCTATGCTATCGAAGTATGGTATATATCTATCTGGCTATCATGCAGTTGGGTGGTGTAATTGACGAAAAAAAAGTGAAATTCATTTTTTTGGCAATCATGACATGATTGTCCACAAATACTAGTGTTTATTATAAGATGTACATAGAAAGAAATTTTCAATAAACTCTGCGAATATTAAAAGCGTGAATGAGACTTTGATTTTCTCAACCTTTGTCCTATTCTTGTTTTTTATTCAACATTAATTACTGCTCATTTATTCATTTGTTCATTTACATTACCGATTGTTAAATGTTTTTGCATTCTCAAATGATTTATCTCAATTTTACATTATATATACGCTTGTCACGCTCAGTTTTACAATTACACGTTGCAAAACTTTAGGTATTATATCGCTTTTACATTTTATTTCTCCTTTCATGTTTTGGTTGAACGATATGTATATTTTATAGGTACAAATCTTTGGCAACTTTTTTCTTTCTTTCACAATCCGTATCAATATCCAAGAAAATTTTAATTGTAGAGTTAGGTGCCTCTGGTGCGCAATCATGTATATTTTTTTTATGTTTTTTTTTTTTNGTATTGCCAGATGCTTGCACACATTAAGTACTCAAAATAATGTAAGTCCATGTGTATATCACGTAAACACTAGATGTCACATGTACGAGGGTACAATATAAATAAATTTATATAAAAATGTTTGTGTGCCACAAGTATTTCCTTTCCACGATTGTGAGTAGTAGAGTTAGGTGCCTCTGGTGCGCAATCATGTATATTTTTTTTATGTTTTTTTTTTTTTTTTTTTTTTTGTTTTCGTGTGAAGTTAGCGGTAAGTAAAATTGAAAAAAAGATATTCGTTAAACATATACTTAATTTAGCCATAAAATGCATGCAAACTTCACATACATAGGGTGTGACAAAAATGTACGTATGTCAAGAAAATGTTTATACTTATGTAATTGATTTAACTGCGCGAGTACTTGGAGAAAAAACGAATTTTTCAAAATTGCCGTAAAAGTTGGCCCGGTCGTTATGAGTACCGTATTTGAAGCCTACGCTAATGCCACAGGTACAAATCAACCAACATTATGAAAAACTTCATATTTTTGGTACATCATCCGACAAAACCATAGCTAGCTATCGTTGACGTAAACAAAAAAGAAAAAAAAGTTTTAATGTCTACTGTCTTCTATGCACCTCGAACAATGTCAATAATGAGAAAGAAAAGGTCATCAGACGACGGAAGGGCCGATAGCAATAAGTGAAGACTCGAGCGGACCGCTCAGCGACGAGACGGTCGAGAGAGTCGAGGAGCCGGGCGATGTGCCGATAGCCGCCGAGGTCGGTTTGATGGGCTCAGGTGACGCGAGCCCCGGGCGCAAGTGTCGACAACGGGCGCACAAGCGTGACCCCACCTGCGCTCGGATCCTCGACCCGAAACACGTCCAGTGGAATCGCCAAGTCGACGTCATATATTACTCGGGCGACTCGTTCGGAGGTCAGTATACTATAATATACAAACTTGACTCCAAAGGGTCATTTCTTTTTTTGGAAGTGTCCTTACCTGCAGGGTATATAACATTATTTACGCATCTTCAAGCGAGTCTCAACATTGAGTGTGTATTATTTATACATATTGCGATCTGTGGATTCGCTTGACTTTTACCTGAACGTACAAATTTAAATTGAAGCAAAGTGAGTGTGAAGATTTTTTAATTGACAATCACGTGCGCAGGTAAAGTGCTGCGTCGCGGAAGCGAACCCCTGCGCGAAGAGGCCGAGCAGCAGGCGCGTCGCAGCCGCTTCGTTCAGCTGGCCCTGGCCAAGAGCGAGCCTTGGCTCTTTCTTCTGTCCAAGTAATATTTAACTCCTCATTTATCTCGTCTTATTTTTTGGCCTTGGTCAAATACCTTTCCAACAAGTTTTTTTTTTTTAAATGGCAAAATTTTTTTCGCCTCGAGCTAAGCAAGTATGGATATTCTACATCATCACGACAAAATTACATGTAGAATTTCATATTTCTTTATTCCTCGAGAATGGAGGATTCTCGTCGTAGCTAAGTAGTTAGTGCATACGTTGCTTGTGTTGTTTTGTGATTTACAGTACCCGAGAGATTTTTATTTCAAAATTTATTGTCTCTACAAATGACGAAACTTTGTTCCGGAGGTAGCATATTATGTTGACTTGTTGCTTTAAAAAAAAAAAAAAAAAAAAAAAAAAAAAAAATGATCACACATTACACTTATTCGGATGAACGATACTTTGCTCAACACTTCTCGATCTTCATTAAGATCATCTGACTGAGCCTTTCGTAGTCAAAGTACTGGGGAAAGTCTAACTTGACTTCCTGTATCGACCAGTTCAACTTGTGGCGCTCGATGCAGCGCAGAAATTCCTCGTACATTGGCGCTACGGAATCCAAATCGGATATCGTAAACACGTAGCGCTTCTCCAAGGCGACGTAAGTTTGGCAACCACCTGACAAATCCAGCAGCCTCGCCAGACTCTTGACAAATCCATCCGTTATCTTGTCGTCGTATATAACTGCAACAAAAACACACAGCTATTCGATTTTTGAGATTTTCCTACGCACCTCAACGAATTACTTTTAGTTCATTTTTTCGTGCCTCTCGATGATTTTAATACAAGTACCTTTTGTGTCGGTAAGTAGTTTAACTTGAACTGTTATTTTGCTGCCCCTAGCAAAAAAAAAAAAAAAAAAAAAAAACAGTTATAACTACTTAAACGAAACTCTGGTGAATTAAAGCCTTAACCCGAAATCGTCAAACACGATCATTTCTTAAGATAGCGCTTTCTTCTCAACAAGTTTGAGCCACGTATATACAGTACTTCTTTGCTTCGAATCGTTAATGTATTTACTCATTACCGATATTGTATACACACATATAATTATGTTGCATGCAGTTATTAAATGATAAAGTGATTTACCGTCAGCTGCCATGATGACGTCGACTTTGCCGATTTTTGTCTTCAACGTTGCATTCCAGTTTGGGTCCAAAAAATTAAGCTCCGTCACCGTAACTTTGGCATTGACGAGTTGCCTGTTCCTCTCAAAGTTTTTTTCAATCAACTTGAGTATCCCTCCGATGTCAACATCTAAAACGCATAAGATTATTATTCACATGGAAATATTATAGTTTCGAATCGTCGGTGAAAATCACGTTGGCCTTCACGTATAGGTGTGAAAATTTATTTACCTGTACAAACGACTTCCTTGGCAAACGCACTGGCTATAATACTGTCGAACCCAACCCCGGAGCCCAACTCGAGCACCACCTTGTCCCGGAACACTTGTGGATGCGAGATAATGTAGTCGCCGAGTAAAAGCGCCCCGCGCCAAATTTGCAAGCCGACCAACTTCAACTCGGTAGAAATGCTGTGCTCTGTATGATAATTGTTGCGTCAACAACAATACTTATTTAGAATGAATAACGAGTTCTGTAATATGACTAATGAGCCCAAAGGCGGACGTACCGATTAAAATAGTGCCCTTTTTGTTGCGCTCCAGAACCAAGTCGCCGTCCTCGTCGTACTCCAGAGGCCCGTTTTCCGAGCGGCTCTTACGCATGTGCGCCGGATACTCGAAGAGAAACGCCGACACCGCGTCTGCGGAACCACGTACCAAACTTGAGAGGAAATTTCGTAATGCTCGAACATCGGTCAAGATGTAATCGCAATAGGTGCAAATTAAGTGTTTTTTTTTTTTTTTTCCCTTTTTAATGTACAGGTGTACTCACTGTTACTGCTGCTCCCGTCGGTGCTGTCCACTTTGCGCGACCTGTCAGCGTCCCTTTCCACCAAAACCTCCGACGTTACTTTGTGACCCGTCATTTTCTACACGACAGACTAAATCGCTTTTATTTCCAAAGACTATATAAATGTACAACGTATGCGCGCTTTCGTATAAACAAAAAAACAAAAAAAAATACTGCCAACAAAAGTAAAGGAAATTATATCTATATCTTTGGCACTTTTACTGCAACCTCGATTTTCAATGATTTTTTTCAAATATTGCTTCCGGGTTTGCTCTATCGATCAGCCAATACATTCACTGAAAATCGGTATACTCTAGCTACATATACTTATATTTAAAGAAAGAAGGTAGCTGTATTATTTTATACAGACAGATAATTTATGAATCGTGGAGTTGAAAATTTTCTTGTAAATTTTTGCACTACAAATCGTAAAAAATAAAAAAAAATGAACAGAACAATGACGGCATTTTTGCGAGTATATGTATATATATACACGTACCTTCTATTAATATCGCAAACTTGGCCCTGCAGATTCGCAGTCAAGGTTCCGTTGGAGCTATATAGGTATAGGAGGTATTGCCAGATGCTTGCACACATTAAGTACTCAAAATAATGTAAGTCCATGTGTATATCACGTAAACACTAGATGTCACATGTACGAGGGTACAATATAAATAAATTTATATAAAAATGTTTGTGTGCCACAAGTATTTCCTTTCCACGATTGTGAGTATCGATACGGTAAGTATCTTCGGAGCCGGTGAGCGCGACGCACCAAGTGGTCGCGGGGACGGATCCACCTGGCGATCGGGGCAAACCCCGCGTGGTGGGCTGCCGCTGCGGAATTATAGATATACTCATTTGCGTGCTTTTTCTGCACGCGCTATTTATTTTCGGATTTTCTTAAGCGGTGGTGAGCCGGCCTTGTGCACGATATGCATATATGAGAGTCGTTGCATATTTTGCCTCGCGCGCATCCCCCCCCCACCTTTCCCTTTGATGCTGCGTGGTGATGATGATGATGCGATCTTCCTCTCATTCAATCCGCATGAGGTCTGAAATCATCGAGCGAGTAAGAACTCAAAACACGTGCATTTCTCTATCATTCATAAGAAGTATATCATACAAAATTACTAATCTACACCTATTTTGATACACGATCGTTTTATCTCTCGTCACTCATATTCGTTGTCTATTATTTTTATGTACAGAGCCACTATTTCGGGGAATCTCAAATAATCTCAATTTTTCTATTTTTATTTAATTAGTTATTTTATTTAATTAGTTAGCGAGTAAGAACTCAAAACACGTGCATTTCTCTATCATTCATAAGAAGTATATCATACAAAATTACTAATCTACACCTATTTTGATACACGATCGTTTTATCTCTCGTCACTCATATTCGTTGTCAATTATTTTTATGTACAGAGCCACTATTTCGGGGAATCTCAAATAATCTCAATTTTTCTATTTTTATTTAATTAGTTATTTTATTTAATTAGTTAGCGAGTAAGAACTCAAAACACGTGCATTTCTCTATCATTCATAAGAAGTATATCATACAAAATTACTAATCTACACCTATTTTGATACACGATCGTTTTATCTCTCGTCACTCATATTCGTTGTCTATTATTTTTATGTACAGAGCCACTATTTCGGGGAATCTCAAATAATCTCAATTTTTCTATTTTTATTTAATTAGTTATTTTATTTAATTAGTTAGCGAGTAAGAACTCAAAACACGTGCATTTCTCTATCATTCATAAGAAGTATATCATACAAAATTACTAATCTACACCTATTTTGATACACGATCGTTTTATCTCTCGTCACTCATATTCGTTGTCAATTATTTTTATGTACAGAGCCACTATTTCGGGGAATCCCAAATAATCTCAATTTTTCTATTTTTATTTAATTAGTTATTTATTCGATTATAATTATTACGCGGTAGTTTCCGGTAAAATAAATTATATTCTCGTTATTAAACGATCATTTTTTTTTGTTTTCGTTCAAACAAAGTACTAACTACCACACATATTTTCCATTTTAAATATGCCAAGTTAAATTCAAACAAATTACCTCATAAAATTATGTAAAAGGACTTGACTAAATTGAGATGAGATTAGATACCTAATGATAAGTTGAAATCTCGAACCATATAAAGTACATTATATGTATAGCGAGTTCTGGATACCTATACTGTACGGACCTCACCAGATAACGCGATCAATTTGTACAGCACGTGTAGCCATGCGCAAATATAAGTAAATTGAGAGTGAAAAGACGAGCACTAATAACCAGCGATGGGATATAGTTCCGGCCAGATTTGGAAATTCTCTAGGACCCAACTTCTCTGACGTGGGAAATCACTAGATCAAAAAAAAATAGTACCGAATAGACCCGGGGCGCTTACTGGCAACTCTGCTAAATAAATAATCGCGTATTTACGTACACATAACTATTTCAGCTGCGAATACATTTAGGGAACCGGATCAGCCGGAGCTGTAAGTATTGGTTTTCAAAACCTTAAAGTTTTTTAACAGTGTCAGTCACGTGCGTGTGCAGGCGTAAGTTAAGTCATCTTTGAATTTGCCACCAAATCAGAGTTTCCGGAGTCATCCAATGGAAGAGGGCTTCTACCATTACCGAGTCCAAGCGTGTCTTTTCATTGGAGGATTCTTTTTTTCTCTTCGGTGACTAATCTTTGATTGGTCATGCGCACAAAACAAAAGGCCAATGGCTGTAACTGTACTTGTAAACCGGGCAATCAAAAATGCTCCAATGAATAAAGTTTATCTATCGAACAACCCAATGGAACAATAAAAAAATAGGCTCGATATAGGCATCTTTAAACAAATTCAACAGCAGTAATGATAATCACGAAATGCAATGTAAGTATTTACCTCGAAAGAAATAGAGTCTGCAAAACTTGAAGCTAGCATCAAATAAGTAATACTTACTTCGAAAATTTGAAGCTCGGAGAGGCCAGTTCTCTTTGGCTCTCTCTCTCTTGTGAAATGTTGTATTGTTGCAGAAGAGCAATCCAATAAGATAAGTTTACGTAGCGCGTCGCAAGTCGCAATATCGCAAATCGCAAAGTGTTGTATCTCTCTCTTTTTCCTCCAACTTATAATACTTAACACTTACACCATAAGTATTACGTTATACGTATACGACGTTCGTAACTTCGCACGACTCGCACTACGCGACACGAGGCTCGCGAGAGGAGGACAGAATAGCCGACCGACCGAGGAGGTTGTGAGTGCTTATAGGTTCAACGCACGCGACCGCGACGCTCACTCATCGGCCATTTGTCTGCGAGAAGCCTAAGGATGAAGTTTACGTTGCTAAGCATTGCCAGTTGTTTCCTTATACTCGGGTTAGCCCGGGCTAAGATCGAGGTAGAGGATGACGTCCTCGTCCTCACCAAGGACAACTATGATGAGGCTCTCGAGAACCACGAGTACATACTTCTGGAGTTTTGTAAGTATACACATACGCCGACCTTTATTTAATTCTTATGTTTCTCTCTCCAAATTATTTGCAACACCTGTTTTCCCACTTACCCTTTCCAAGCCCGCTTCCCTCTAATTGAGATGATTCACCGACTCCGAATCTATTTGTTAGTTTCCTGTCAAGGTATGGAATAAAAATATGTCTGGTTGTATACGTGTGTGCATCTGCCCTGTCTAATCTTACTTGTCTGTTCCTCATCAACGATAACATCATTAGCAATAATAACTTATGTTATCCTCTAAAAATATTAACACGTAAAGAAAAGCATATTCACGAAATTACCGTCCAGGTACCTCTTATTGTATCCTCATACCCCTACATTGCAAGACTTTGCGCGCAAACCCACCCGGTCCACGTCATCTCTGTGCCTATTTTTTTTTTTTTTTTTTTTTTCTTGGAAGAGCGCCTATGCTCTCTTCGTTCAACTGCTCTCGTGGCTTATCTACATATCTATATACATACATACGCATTGAATAACTCGTCAGTCGTCTCGTCGTCTGTCGTGTTGGCGGATTTTTGTGCCGGCGTTGATGCGTGGCTGTTTTGTTATCTATCATATATATATATACACAGAGAGGTAGTACGTTACATCCTGTTCCTCGCCGATGTTAGGTACTTACTCATTATAATGATCCTCGAGTCATGCTATGGAATTGCAGATTACGAATGTCACGTAGCCCCATGTAATCAATTTTTTTTTTTTTTTCATTTTAACAGCTGTTTCCATGACTTGTTTGATTTTTGAAACTTGGGCATTACTACGATTTTTACAGGCATATGTTGATTTTGCTTTACTCCTTGACTTTTTCGGAAATAAAATGATGAGTATTTTGGGGATCCGAATAACTTGCAAAATTTGAAGAAAAAAAAAATGTCTGTGCAAAAAAAAGTTTTCACCCGTTACATTTATTTTATAAAATACCTTTGTGGAATTTTCTTATCATCCTGTTCTCTTTCCTTGTCTGTTCTAATGTGTTTATGTGTTCTTTGACAATAAAATATTTACAAATATCGATTTAATTAAAAAGTTCACTAACGATTTTTAATTTTTTCATAACTTGTTAGTAGCTTTGATAATAAAAACAATTACAATTTTTAGATGCTCCCTGGTGCGGCCACTGCAAGGCTTTAGCTCCTGAGTATGCTTCTGCAGCTAAAACATTGAACGAAAACAATTCTCCGATAAAACTTGCAAAGATTGATGCTACAGTTGAGTCCAGTGTGGCTGAACCTCACAATGTTCGAGGCTATCCAACCCTTAAATTCTATAGGAAAAACAAGGAGCCTAAATTTATTGACTATTCTGGTGGACGCCAAGCTCAGGAAATTATTAACTGGCTGAACAAGAAAACAGGACCTCCTGCTAAGGAAATAACCTCTGTAGATGAGGCTAAGAAAATGATAGAAGAACACCAAGTTGTTGTTATTGGTTTCTTCAAAGATGCTGCTTCTGAGAATGCCAAAGTTTTCTTGAATGTTGCTGGTGCCGTCGACGACAATGTATTTTGTATCAGCAGCAGTGAAGAAGTATTCAATGAATACAACGTTAAAGATGGAGAGGTTGTTCTCTTTAAAAAGGTAAAAATTGTGAACACTATGTTTTTTCTCTTATTTTGATCAATCCGTGTAATACAAGATATTTCTGTTTTAGTTTGATGACCCGCAAGTTAAATTCGCAGATGAATACACTGTTGACAACTTGAAAAACTTTGTGAAAGTCGAATCCCTGCCATTAATTGTTGATTTCAATCATGATACTGCCACAAAGATTTTCAGTGGTGATGTTAAAAGCCACCTCCTTATGTTCTTCAGCAAAAAAGAAGGTCACCTTGATAAGTACCCTAAAGAACTGAAAGAACATGCCAAGTCCTTCCGTGGACAGGTAATTGATTACTTAGTCACTAAATTTGAGATTTGTTTTCGACTTAGCTTGTACAATTTCTGACCGAATAATTCTTCTTCAGATCTTGTTCGTCGCTATTGATGCTGATGACACCGACCACGAACGTATCTTGGAATTCTTCGGACTGAAGAAGGAAGATGTACCGTCTATGCGCATCATCAAGTTAGAGGAGGACATGTCTAAGTATAAGCCTGATAATTCTGAACCAACAGCCGATAATGTCAAAGACTTTGTCTCGAAATTCCTCGCCGGTGAATTATCTAAACACTTGCTTACGGAAACTCTTCCTGAGGATTGGGACAAACATCCTGTTAAAGTTCTTGTCAGCACGAACTTTAAGGAAGTCGCCTACAACAAGGACAAAAAAGTCCTCGTCGAGTTTTATGCCCCATGGTGTGTACACTGTAAACAGCTCGCTCCCATCTATGACCAGCTCGGTGAAAAATACAAAGACGACGACAAAATTGTTATAGCCAAGATGGACGCTACAGCAAATGAATTGGATGATGTCAAAGTCACCAGCTTCCCAACCATTTACTTGTATAAGGCTGAGACGAATGAAGTATGTTTAAGCTTCAACAATCTTTAAATTCTTAAATTTTTACATGTGAGAAGTAGTATTGAGAAATTTTAATCCACTATTTCTGAATTAGGCTGTCCAATACAATGGAAAACGGACACTTGATGGTCTTGTGGAATTCTTAGAATCAGATGGTGCTCAGGGTGCGGAACCCGAAAAGGTCAGTATATTTCAACAATTTCTATACTTGAATCATTATTTAAAACATTTGTAAATTTTTAAGTCTAATTGATTTCCAAAGACAGAAATAATTATTTGCATTCGTTATTTACGAATTGTCTAGTTAAGCGTGCGATTGACGGACAACAGTAAAGAACACTTATAACAATATATGGATTTTTCAATTAATTTCTGATTTTTCACTTTTAGGGTGAAGAGGAAGATGAAGATGATGATGCCCCAACGAAGGACGAACTGTAAAAAAATCGCACCTGCAACTTCGATTAAAGAAACAAGCAAAAAGTACAGTGTCACCTTGCTGTTTCTACTTTGATCGTGGAAAATGTGGATAACGTTGACTTTTTTCAACGCCAATTATTTGGCTGTAGAATATATATTCTAGCCTTTATTGTATTTTTTTTTTTACAAGATTCCATTGAGATATGTTAATGAGATTGTGTTTGAAGTTCGTAACACGTTCTTGTACAGATTTTAAATATGGAGAAGCTTCTGTATTTTTCAAATTTTATCATTTTTCATTGATTTTTATAAGTAAGTACACTGAGGAGTTTAAAGTTGTACTTATGCGTCTTCCGTAGATGCGGTAAAGCGCATTTAAACAAACATTTTACTTTTAATCCTAAATTTTGCACAAAAATCTCGTTATACTCAAACAGTACCATGTCTTTTACACAAGAAGTAACAATTTCTTACATTATATTGTTTTCAGTCATTCCGGTGAATTAGTAGAGCAAGATAGAAAGATAGAATGTAAATGTGCGTGTATGAGAGATTAACAGAAATCTTGTAAAATTTCTAGTAAAAACTCCACTGGCCGTGTATTAATGGATGCCTCGAGGATTCCATTTTTCAGAATTCACGCTATGAATTGTTATTTTACCAATCGATTTAAATAAAAAAAAAAAAAAAGAAAGATTAGTAATAGATACTAGTTTTTCTACAGACTGAAATAATTTGTTTTTTTTTTTCCTCCACGAGTACACGGACTAAAATTGACTAGTAACGAAACTGAAAAGAAAAAGATGGAATATTTTTCTGTAGTTGTGATGTACGCCAAAGTTAAATGCGTATTTATGTAAAAATTTTTATCAAATATTATTTTTATAATGTCATACGATTAACCCCTTTGAACATCCTGTGCGTTGAAATAAAAATAAATTATGACACAAGTCTGATTATAGAAACATGTGCTTATATTTGACTGATGAAAGTATGTACATGTAATATCTGTAAAAATATATATAAAATGATCATAATATATTTGTAATCGTGTACAAATACGTTTGTGATTATTGAAAGAAAGTACAAAAGTTACATTTATTCGTGTTAATTCTTTAATGTAGAAGTAGTTAACGTTCTAAATGGGATTGTCTAATCACCCCCTGTACAAATGTATAAGTATTTGATTTTAACATAATCTTCATCATCACTGTTGGTTCTTCACTGTTTCGATTGACGTTGTAGGACGGCACCGTGAAACAGGGAGCAGATGAAAAAGAAAGTTTGCAAGCACTGTGCGAGCTCATTTCCAACATGCTGCGTTCCTCCGAGGAGACGAAAAAAATATTGCAAAAGGAATGCGAAGAAGCGACGTTCCCGTTGAAACCTTGGCCGATCGAGTCCTTGGTCGTGAAAGAGCTCGGCAAAAATATTTGCACTTGCCAAGAAGTAAGCTCACCTCATATTTTTCCCAGAGAATAATCAAAGGGATGGGGAGCTTTAAATTTTCCAAATGGGGCTCTAACGAAAAACACTTTCTTGATTAAAAAAAAAAAAAAATCCAACTCCCGTCAGCAAGACGAGGAGATCGCCGCGGAAATCGGCAAGACTCTGCTGAACTCGCAGCGACTGCGCGAGAAGGTGGCCGCCAAACTGCACAGGGAGGGCCAGCGCTCGCGGCAGCCCACCTTGCAGCAGATCTACTCGTCGGTGAGCCACCAGTCCCGGAGCCGTAGCCGATGTACCTCAACGCAACCGGCCAAACAGCCGCCCCGACGGAACAGCAGCATCACGAGACCGCGCGAACCCGTCGGCAAAGATGCCAATAATCGTCACACCTCCGCCCAGCGTCTGCGCTCCAGCGACAGGGCCCCCGGCACCACGAAGAACTTTATCCTGGCGAACAAACGGAGCGTCTCGAGCACCAAGTCCTCATCGGACTCGCGCAAGCCTCGCAGGTATAGTACATACACACAATTGCTTGGCTCGATGCCCTCGAAATCAAGTACCTATAGTTGTGTGTTACTTCTAGTTGTTCAAAAGCCGCTCCGAGTCCCGTCAAAGTTCATCAGTCCGCGAAGGAAGACGAGGTCAAGGCGCTCGACGAGCTGGACAGGCTGATCAAGAAGTACACGTCGGCCGAGGCCAAGGTCAACGTAGCGAGTTTGCGGAGCAACTGTCCCCTGCACGCGGCCAACGCCAAGAGGGTCATCGAAGAGAAGGTCACCACGCTGGTCGACGCCGTCGAGGGCCTGGACCGGCTCGGCGTACCCCCACGGCTCGTCAAAGTCCTCAAGATCTATCACGCTTACCTGAGGGCCGAGAGTGACCCCACTGCCATCCCGGTCGGGAGGCACCAGCGGGAAGCCGTCGACACCTTCACGGCCCACTTCCAGAGACTGGTAGGTGGACAAAATGAGTGCCGTTCATTCACACCCTTGCTTGACCCTTGTTTTTGTTTTTTTTTTTCTCCTTTTTCCAATGTTTATATATAAGTATACCTTTCAGGATGAAAAGAGTCGATCTGCGGATACAGCCGGTTATCACGCGTTGCTGTCCGAGTGTGCGACTCTGTATCGGCAGTCCCACATGGACAACTTGAGCAGCGGTGACATGAGAAACATCAAGTACAAGTATTTGCATATGGAAAATAATGCGTTTAAGGAACTTGGGATCAAGGAAAGAGCCGGCGAAATTAAGTTTGTTAGCTCAAACTCCAATGAGCTGAGCTACGACTTTACGTTGGACGTGAAAAATTGGCTCTCGAATGGCGTGTGGAATCATTCGTGCTTTCTCGGCTTGAAGGGTAAAAGGTTATTTTATTTTCCGCTATTTGGAAATTGTAGGGGTGAACAATAATTTTTTCGACTGTTACAGATGTGTTCGGCACCTATTGTACAAAGTACTTGGACAGGCGCGAGTTGACTCAATTTTTCGGCTCGATCCAAAACTATCAGAGGGACGCTTACGAGAGAGATTTGTCGGAGCTGCTCTTGAAGACTGCAGTACCGATGCTGAAAGAATCCCTCGGTCCCGAGAGCAAAGAGTTCACAAGTATTTACAAGATGATTTCAGCTATTTGCCAAGTTGTCAATATTAAAGTGCCGGCTCTTGTACATCTTACCGATTGATGTTAAAATTATTCGTTACGCACATCAAACTTACGCGATGCCTTGGAGATTTTCTTCATTGATCAAACATTGCGTTGAAGGTGTTGGTAACCTGTTCCTTTTTAAAAAATGAACAACTTGTCGTATGTGAAAATAAAATTTTAATTTGAACCACTAAGCTACAACAAAATTCAAGTGTTTGATTTATTAACATGCAGTTAAACAAACCCACCTCCAGGATAAAATAACTAAATGAATATTAAAAAGAAAAGTAAAAATGCTACTTCGCAATATGCAATACATATATAATAATTATACAGTGTTGAATGCATATATTATGTAGCCAATAACCTTTATTTGAAAAAAAGATAGCGCAAAGAAAAATTACATGCTCGGCGTTAATTGATAAAATTAGCTGTGTTGAAGTGCAAGCAGCGATAAAATGGAAAGTCAATACGTGTACGTGAAAAAGAGATCAGAGTTTGGAAAGCGTTGTTACTTCTCCGACGCCGACAAAGTTGAAGTCGACATAAAACCGGAGCCAAGTCTAGCGAGCAATTTCATCCGGCTGAACCCCGTGTCGAGGGGTACGGTGATCCGCAAAATTTACGCAGCCCACGAAGTAAGCCTTTCCTCACATACTTACGTGCATATGCAGAAAATTCGAGTATATAATACAATCGCCAGATAAATACGACCGCAGCTACTTTCAAAAACAATGGCATGCTGCACGTCGAGGGTGGCTGGCCCAAGGACATCAACAGGGAGGACGGTGATCACACGTCGCGCTACCGCCGAAAAATCGAGAAAGATGAATTTTACGTGCACACGATGCAACAGTTATTGCCGGTGAGCGAGCGATCGGCAGCTCCACAAATAATCTAATTAAATGTTAAAATTCTAGAGGTAACGAGACGAGACAAAATAACGTATGCAAATTATGATGAATGTCCATTGACAGCCGATGGAGCACTACGTCCTCCAGAACAACGCGTGCAACATTTACCAGCAGTACTTTGAGGACACGGAGCCGATGCCGCTCGTTCAACAGGCCTCCTGCCGGACGGTCAACGTTTACCGCGACTCGTTGCCGGTGAGGCGCTCGGCGACTCACATATCCTGGTCGCCGGACCAAGGCACCCGAATAGCCGTCACCCACTGCAGCACCGACTTTAAAAAACTCGCCAACTACAGTCCCATCTCTTACATATGGGACGTGGGTGCGTGTAATACTGTAATATAATAATAATAATAATATATATATAACCGTATACGTGTAGCATTGAGTATCGAGAGAGGGAGGGGGGTAGCGTGGCTTTTTAACATTGATTTTGCGCGAAGCAAACCCCAACAAGCCCTTTGCCCGGCTGACCCCCGCCTGTCCCATTCTCGCCCTCGAGTACAACCCAAAGGACAGCAACGTGCTCGTTAGTGGCCTGATGACCGGGCAGGTGGCCTTCTGGGACATACGGAGGAGCTTCGAGCCGATCGAGACGAGCCTGGTCGAGAGTAGCCACCGGGATCCCTGCAGCCACGTCCTCTGGATCAACTCGAAGACCGGCACGGAGTTTTTCAGTGCAGGCAAAGACGGACAGGTGGGAACATAATAATTATGTACATGTAGGTATAAGGCCACGTATATTGAATTGAACAAAAAAATATTTTGAATGATGGCGAGCAGGTCAAGTGGTGGGACACGAGGAGACTCCAAGGGCCGACGGAGACCCTGGTGATGGACCTGGCCAAGCCCGAGGAGCAGGAGCTGGACCGGGCGACCGGCGTGTCGGCCCTCCAGTTCGAGTCGTCGATCGGCACGCGCTTCATGTGCGGCCTCGAGAACGGGACCGTCGTTTCCGGCAATCGGAAGGGGAAAACGCCCACCGAGAAGCTGTCGGTGCGCTTCAAGGCCCAGTACGGCCCGGTCCACAGCGTCGAGAGGAACCCGAATTTCATCAAAAATTTCCTCACCGTGGGCGACTGGACCGCCAGGGTCTGGTCCGAGGACTGCAGAGAATCTTGCATCATGTGGACCCCGTAACTACACAGACACCCCCTCCCTTCCCATGCATGTATGGTTATTTATGTAATTCATTGGTGCACAGTGGACACAAGGTGCTCCTGACGTCCGGCATTTGGAGCGCGACCAAGTACTCCGCGTTCTTCCTCACGAAGACGGATGGTACGCTGGACGCCTGGGACCTCCTCGTCCAGCAAGACAGTCCCGTGCTGAGCGTCAAGGTGTTTGATTATCATTTGCAAATGGCATGTATTGCCTGTTATAAATGTTAACATGTCCGGGTGACCCGGTAGGTGTGCGACGAGCCCCTCGTTTGCATAAGTCCGCACGAGCAGGGCCAACTGGTGGCGGTGGGCAGCAACGACGGTATGGTTTACATGATGCAGTTCTCGGAGAACCTCACCAATAGTCTGAAGAACGACAAAGCCATGCTCACGGCGGTCAGTTGTTTATTACATTTTTGTTTGTTTTTGCCTTACAATTTCACGGTGCACAACCCCCCCCCCCCACACACACACATAAGCGTGTATGTATGTATGTATGTACGTATATCTATTGTTTAGCTCTTGGATAGGGAGACAAGACGGGAGAAGGTGATCGAGGCGAAGAACCGCGAGTTCCGATTGAAGCTTAAAACGACGCGGCAGGATTCGGCCGATGCCCATCAACCCGATCAAATGACAGATCGGAACCTCTTGCTTCAGTGCGAGCAGGAGTACAAGGCCGTTATCGAAGCGGTAACCATAAAAATTTTTTTTTTTTTTTTTTTAATTGAGGCTATTGCAACTACACAATAAATAATAAAATTGTAGAAAGTCAANTGACGCGTGCGGAGATCGGTTGACATACTATGTACCTATACTATTTTTTGCTTCTTTGAAAAAAAAAAAAAAAAAAAAAAATGGTTTGTAAATATCTGCAACTGAAATAACAGACACAAAAGGTCAAGTTGAATGTTGATTTTTTTTCATTTCATTGCGTCATGTATCACTTTTGTGCATTTGTATACGCTTGTACTGGAAAGGAAAAAAAAAAAAAAAATTATATTTATTCTTCGATGTACGTATACAAGCAAAAGCTCCAATAATTTCCACAGAAATAAAATAAAAGTTGCGATGACCTAAAAATCTGATTTTATTCTACAGAGACAAATGATACATATATTCATGGCGGGCATGAATAAATGACCCGCGCGTATACCTATAGATCGTAATAAAAAATAATAGCTGCACATTGGTTGTACGGTGGGGGTGGCTGAACTGGCTAGCCGGCTATGCTATACATATGTATATCATTATATGCTAGACAAGGGGATGGTAGGTATATATACACGTACACCCACAAAAAAACACATATGCATGCATGTATAAATTGTAAGTGGCGTAGATCGATTCGCCTGAGTTTGCCATCAGCGGTGGTGCAATAACTCACCTACTGTGTGCTCCGTGTACAATGTGCATGCATACATACATACGTGCTTTTGCACCGTGTACGAGGTACAAGCTGAGCCCTAATAGGCGAGTCGCCGGACACCTGCCTCTTAGTTGTGGCAACGCGATGGAAACAGCCGGCTGCCGCGTTACTAGCCCCTATACTGTCGTAGCTCTTGTTTATTTCACTGTGCCGCAGAAATTTGTTTTTTTTTTTTTTGCTTTGTTTTTTTTAATCGATATACAGTCTTGTTCGACTGGCTATAGTTTGCAATAAAATATTTACCCCGCGGGCACTACGCGTATGTGCTATCCTAAAAGCGCGCGGCTTTTATTTGCACCATTGGTAAAAAACAAATACATGTTAATTTCTCCTGCAGTACTTATGTAGTGTATGAAATTGCGGCCGCTCGCCATGGGATGACACGATACGTAAGTAGGTACAACGATTCCGGCACTTTGTTTTATTATTTTTACACACATTGTTTTTTTTTTTTTTTTGTAATTTTAGCTCCCTACGCGATGTGTGTAAGTCTGTTGAATCGATACATAAGTGTATGTATGACGTATAAGTATACTTATACTCGATCTCATTGTAAATGGTCATGCGAGGCTGAATACGTATAGTAGGTATCTCTATTTACTGCCATGGTGTACCCCAAGGGGTGCCCGTGTGTTTGAGTACCGATAGCGCACGATTCACGGGAAAGGGGCGTGAAAAAATATGGATCCCCAGCAGGCTCTGGGCCCGAAGAAAACTAAACGGTCGAAACCCCGCGCGGTCGACAGCTCCACCGACGACTCGTCCGCCGGCGAGAAAACCCAAAACCTCGGCTCGAGCCGGCTCCACCTGATCCGAGATCCCGGCGCGACCGCGCAAACCGAGCCAGCCTCGCAACCGCCCAAGGAGACGAGCATCGCCCGGGCCATCAAGCGGAAGTTTGGCTTTTTCCGCAAATCGGCGGCCGACAAGAAACCGGCGGTCCCCCAACTGCCCGACACGCCGGAGCGAGAGGCCAACCGCCAACCCCCGACCCTGGACGTGGTCGTGGACGTCCACTGCGAGAACCAAGAGTCCAGAGCCGAGGAGGCCTCGACGGACCTGATCGAGGAGCGACTCGTCGATGGCAGCTCCGAGGACGAGAAGATCGGGGGGGCAGTGCTTCGGGAGGAGGGGGGTGGCGCGGATGGGCACAGGAGGAGGCGCTGGAACAAGTCCGAGGAGGTGGTGGAGGATCCGAAGAAGCCGCGCCGGAGACAGTGGGCCAAGGAAGGCGGCAGCGCCCAAATTCGCGACACGACCGGCAAGAAAATCGTCGTGCCGAAGAGGGCGGCCACAGCCGAATCGGCCGGAGTAACCGGCCCACCAAAGTCTTTGACGTAAATAGTACCCCATATGTAGTAGATCTACGTACACGCATGGGCGGGATATAAACACACGCGCACGTACCGATTGATGATCTTTAGGTCTTCGAAGCCGGTGGCTGCGCCGAGGGTCAAAAGCCTGCCGAAGCGACGTCAAAGCTACGACAACGATGGTTTCTCGTCCGACCACGACGACGAAGTTTTGAGGATCGAAACAGTTGACAACGAGAGTCCGCTAATCAAAATGGGCTGTTGCTCCGACGCCAGCGAAAAGGAGGAGGAGGAGGAGGAAGAAATCAAAGTGAGACCGGTACAATAACCCTTTGGAAGGCACTAGAAGTCGCACCGGTTTGTTTTTCTCTAGGAATACGTTGGCGAGAGTACCGATACCTCCAACGCGAAAAGTCGTGTGCGGTTGTTGGCAGACCACGCGGAGGAGGGAGCACCAACGAGGAGGCGAAAGAGCCCCGTCGATAGGAGGTCGGCCGACGACGAGGACGAGGAGCAGGCGACCGTCCTGGACGCTAGGGGGAAGAGGTCGAAGAAGTCGTCGTCAAACTCAAGCAGAGCCGAGCTAATACCGACAAACTTTTTTGCCAAGAGATCGAGCGACGACGAGGACGAGACGACGATATCGACGAACGAGGAGATGCACAGGGTGAGGTTTGTTGTAATTTTTCCACGGCCCAACGAAAGAAAAGCTCCTGTATAAAAAACACCACATGTTGTTTGCTTCCCAAGGAGTCGCGAAGGAGCTCGCGCCACTCAAAGCCATCGTCGCGGCACGAGGAGGAGGATAACGACGACGGATACGCAAAGCGCAAAACCACGAGCTCGTCGACCCGCAACTCGGCCGAAGGGGCTGCAAGCCCTCGGAAGACGTTAACGCGGTCACGGACGAGGGAGCGCTCGAAGAGCAAAACGAAGAAGAGGAAGAAGAAGAAGAAGAAGCGGCCAAAGGAGGGCGACGAGGAGGGTGAGGTAAAGTACGTCTCGGTGAGGGTCCACAAGTGCGACATGCTCGAGGCGGACTGCGTTACGAAGCACCCGCTGGTCAGGGTGCACTTGGTGTACGAGGACAGTGGCTCGAGGGTCCAGCAGCGAAACAACAATGGGGCAGAGGGGGGTGGGGACGCCTTGCGTCCGGCGCTCACGGAGAAGTTTGACTTTAAGCGGATGAGGAGCATGGTGCCCGTCTGGGAGGAGGACCTCGTCTTCGAGATGAACTACAGGGAACTGTTTGCCGGGGGAAAGGACTCGGTGCTGATGCTCTTTGAGGTGCTCGACCTACCGAGCTCGGCTCAGACCACCACCTCGAGCTCGGACTACTACAGTGAGCCTCTCAACTGTCCAACAAATATACTAGAATAATTTAACTAATGCATAATACATAAATGTACAAACTTCTTTTTTTTTTCCCCTCATTTTCAGTGAAAGACTCGTGCTGGCACAAAGTGGCTTGGGCTTTCCTGAGGCCAGTCGGAGTGGGCGGTGCACGGCACGTCGACAAAAAGTGCCGACTACAGCTCTACAGGCCAAAGAAGGGATTCAGGAGGCTTGCAAGGGATGACGACAAGTGCGAGGTATACGCAACGCAACATCAACAATAACAGCTTGGGGTTGTTTTTTACGTATGCACATACACCTATTAATAATAAATGAACGAATGAATGAACAAGGTGTACAAGTGGTGGAGGTCCACCAGCAAGGATAAGTACCCGAGCAGCTTGTACGTGAGCGTGACGGGAGTAGAGCCACCAAAGCTCGAGCCGGTCTTGTACGAGCAGCTGCTCGAGTCCCTGCCCCCGGAGAGGCGCAATGAGCCGAGCGACGGTGCCGGGACGCGCGACGAGGTGGCGATTAACGACCCGCCCAAGTGGACGCGGCTGGCGGCTCAATCTTGCCAGATTCCCAACGAGATCTACGAGGAGATCGAGGCCGGCGACAACGGCTGCTTCTTCCTGGCCTTCAGCAACGACGGCAAATTCCTGGCATGCGCGCTCTCGGAGGAATACGAGTTCCCGATCAACGTCTACAAGGTACGCGCGCGCGAGAAATAAGCCCAGAGCGGCTGGTTGCATTTTATTGGTTATTGGTCACAGATCGACGAGGGGACCAAAGTCAACGTCCAATTTTCCGGCCACAAGAATTTCATTTACTCGTTGAACTGGTCTCGGGACGACTGCTACCTCCTCTCCGTATCCTCCGACCAAACGGCCAAAGTGTGGGACGTCCGGGAAAAAATCATCGAACCAATTTTCGTAACACCCAACGCATAAAAATAATTACACGCTGTTCTTTTGTTGCGTACACGTGATGATTGTGACCGAGGTGATTTGTGTAGGCCCTGCCCCACCCGTCGTACGTGTACTGCGGCAAGTTTGCGCCAAAGTCGTCGAGCTCCGTGATCGTGACCGGTTGCTACGACCACGTGGCCCGGGTTTGGGCGCGCTCGCGCTCCACTCGCCGGTACGAGCTCGTCCAGGAACTCGAGGCCCACGAGAGCTTCGTGAACGCGGTGTGCTTTCACGCCAGGGACCACCACCGACGGCAGCTGGAGCCCAGCGACGACCCGTACGAGGGGCTGGCTCGGACGGAGGAGGGAGGCTTCTGCCTGACGGCCGACGGCCTCGGCTGCATCGTCGTCTGGTCGATGAGGGGAGCCCGGCCCAAGTCGCCCAACAGGAGGGAGTGGCAGATGGCGCGGAAGATCAAGATCAGGGAGCTCGAGGGGGTGCCGATCAACGGCATCTCGATGCACCCGCTCGGCTCTAGGCTACTCGTGCACTCGAGGAACAACGGGCTGAGGCTGGTCGACTTCTGGGCCGGCTCCATCGTCAAGCAGTTCGACGGACTCGAGAACCAGAGGTTCGTGGTTTCCCCCTTATTTTGATATTCCGATGCCCAAGTTGGTTTGGAAGCCAATACGATCGATCAACCGATTCAGGATCCAAATAACTGGCTGCATCTCGCCGTGCGGCGGTCTGCTGTTCTGCGGTGGCGAGGACTGCACCTTGAAGGTCTGGGGCATCGAGAGCGGCAAGCTCTTGGCGACGTACGAGCTCGGCACCGGCGGCCAGAGCAGGACCGTCACGTGCGTCGACTACCACCCGTACGACCACGCGCTGGCGTTCACGAGCTACGGATCTTCACCGGTGCTCGCGAGGATCCTCAAGTTCGACCGGGACTCGGACGGCCGGGCCGTCGGCCTGAAGCTGCTGGCCGGCAGCGGTAGTCTCGTCGGGCAGGCCACGAGGCTCAACAAGGAGCACTACCACCCGCTGATGAGGAACGAGGCGGACGCGATCGGCCACCTACTGCCGCTGTCGGTGGTGGGCGACGACGAGGCCGAGGAGCGGAAGAACCTCAAGGGGAAGCTGCAAAAGTTCATCGAGTCGGGCCCGAACCTCAAGAGCCGGAGCCTGACTCGGCTCAACGGGATCATCGAAAAGATCGACCGGATCCTCATGTACGCGACCAGCCAAAAGTCACCGCCGCCTCCCGGCCAGCAGCACCTGGTCGACTTGGAATCGGCGAGTGCGGTGGGACAGCGGAATCGCGAGGCCTTCGAGCTGAGGGAGATGAAGGAACGGCGTGGGGACAGTAAGCGCCGACAGCGCTCGACGAGCGCCAGGAACGTCACCTGCGGCTCACCTACGGTCCACCGAGAAACCGAGTTTTCCAAGGCGCTCTCGGACAGCGCAGCCTTCAACCGGAAGGTGTCAAAGTTCTGGAGCGAGGAGTCCACGTCCAACTCGACGAACCGATCGCTCAGCGGGGGCAGGGGCCGAGTCGCGGTGGAGCGCCTCGATCTCGAGATGGGGGCGGGGCGCAGGGACTCGCTCGACACGATCGTCGACGGAAGGGAGGATTTCCCGAGCGAGGAGGTCCTGGACGTGGAGTCGCTCAAGAGCGACGACACGTACGTGGTCAGCAAGGACGGGGACAACAACTCGGGTAGGAGCAACGCGACCTTCGTCATTGAGAGCGAGATGCCCCCGGTGCCCAAGCCACGCACGAAGCGGCTCGCCGAGTCTCGTGCGTGATAGCGCGACAGCTATCGCAGTGGTCGATAATCTCGAGGGATTAATCTTTTTTTTTTTTTTTTTTTTTTTATCTGTTCTTAAGCGTAGATAAAATATATTGTTTTTATCTGTATCAAGTGGCCGCACTTAATGATCAAATAACGACGATAATTAAAGAGTCATTCGAGTCAAGTTGCACTTTTTTTATCCACGCGCGTGTGTTCAACCGTTGTTATTTTGATTGCATTTATATCAAATTTTGTACGATTGCAAACACCAAAAGTAACGTTTAATTGTTAAAATATTTTCGCACCTCACAAGTGAGTGCGGAAAAACTACAAGCAATCAGACTTTTCAACTACGACTTTATACATTAGGTAATAATAACATGATGTGTAGATGTTAAAAAAAAAAAAAAAAAAAAAAGTATATATTTAGCTGTTACATTTTTTGGACTCAATAAATATGTATAGATAGACAGTAAGTACTGATTTTGGCTCGCTCATTCCCCCGTCAGATTTTCACTCCTCGGTCTCTGTAGGGCGAGGGGTCCTTGATCGCGATCGGCGCCTCCTTGTTTTCGGACACCCAAATCGCTCCGGCCTCCGCCTGCGCTATCATCCTCACGATCGCTTCGCCGACGTTTTCCGGCCTATGCACAAAAAATAAATACCATGCACGATGCATAAACAAAATTTCTTACGCGCTATAATAAAAATAACATTGACAGGTACTGACTGTTGTATGTACTTGGAGCACTCGAAGGTCTCGTCTAAAAACTTTTCGGGCACGAAGCCGAGAACTTCTTGCTTCAGGTTTTGATGGAGGACGCTTCTGTCCGTGATGCCCGGGCACATCGCCATCACTCGGACTCCGAGGTTCTCGTGGTGTTTCTAAAAGTGGTAACGTGGGAAAATTTTCCGTTAGACCAACAGAGCAAAAAAAAAAGAAAAACCAAGGGGCAATTTTTAATGTTTTAACACGAAGGGTAAAAAAAAAGCTTCACCTCCAGTGCTTTGGTAAAGCCTACGACGCCGTACTTGGTGGCCGTGTATATCGGGAAAGCCGCTGATGGCCTGAGACCGAAAATCGACGCCACGTTAACGATGGCGCCTCCTTTGCCATTGTGGTGGCGCCCCATGCGATCTATTCCTATGAGCGTGCAACTAATCAGGGCCGTCTAAAATAAACAAAAAAGAACTTTTGTTACTGCATGAACCACAAAGGATTCCAAATTTCATCCAGTGCGGGAAAAATTAAGCGTTTTAATCTTGAGGTGGTGCGAAAGCTGTGTGAGACGTAGTTGTTCGGTATAAAAGTCACCTCCTGTCCCCAATAGTTCTAAACCGGAGTATCAAGTTGTGCCGATCGTGACTTAGTAATCATGAATTAATTAATGATATCATTTAATTGCTTCGTAATTCGTCGCAGTGCGATTATCTGTATGTCAAAATGGTTGGCTTACAAATGTTGTAATAAGCCTTTTAATGCTTTTTTCCCCGATAAAACCTGCACTGTTAGTTTTGACATTGACACAATACGGAGCACATTAATTGTTTTATGATTTATGGGGAAAAAAGCGATAGAAATGATCACTCAATTTCGTACTTTTATCAGTTTATCATTCGAGAAGAGCAAATTTGCTTGACTGAAAAATTGTATTTCAACATCGGTGCGACGTACATCGTTTGAACGATGCGTGTAGAAATCGTGTGTACCCTCATATAATATATATATATATGTATATCATTATATGCTNTTAGTATGTGTGTATATATATATATATATATATATATACGTATAGGTAATCAAGTGCGTATTTGATCAAATGATGGAAACAGTGTGCTCTAGCTTTAAAACCCCGGCGTCACACGTTACGCATAATAACTATGTACAAGTTGTACGCGGAGATTGCTATATATGATTATGTACATAAAATATGACTCGCACATAATAAGTGCGATTATGTAACAATTTTTAATAATAATCTAAAGATGCGGTCTGTTGGAAAAGTTGAAATTTGTAATGGATGTATATACGTGATTATTGTATTCGTGTACTTTTTAATTTAGTGAATCATAAATTTCCTTACCAAGTTTGTGTTGATCATATGTTGGCTCCGTCTCTCGCTGACGATGCTCGCGTAGTTAACGACTATGTCAACTGATCTCTGCATCCCAACAATCTCGTCGTAGCGAGCTAATAAATTATTTTCATCAATTTTTTTTTTTCCCCAATAAATCCTATCTCGGGTTTCTCTCGCGAGTCCAGCGCGAACAGTTAGTTCATCAGATTATTAAATGGCTCAAATGGCAATATCACCAGTACTTTGGTAGTATCATTGAAAACTTGACAACCCGATGGGCGTTTGTGCCCACGCGAGGTCAGAGGGCAAACATTTTATCTGCGCGCTGCAGCGAAAAAATTAAATTTAGCAAGCTCGATTTGGATCAGCGATCATGCAGTACCGCAAAGAAAAAAAAAAAAAAAAAAAGAAAAAAAAATCACCATTATTATTAATTACGGGTTATTACCTGCAAATTCGCTCTCTATCGTGACATCGCACGTGTAAAAGTCGGCTTTGTCCTTTCCAAACTGCTCCTCTATTTTGCGTATGCAGAACGCGGCCCGGGTGTGCGCAGAGTCGAGATCGAAAATCGCTACGTACTAAAAAAATCGTTAAAATATTATATAATACAGAATTTATTGGGCTGTACATATGAAATATATGTAATAAAGGGTAAAGAAAAAAAAGGGCTCAGAGTATATAGTCTGCAATATTGCATTGTTAATGTTTTTCAAGGTTTGTCTGGTGCGCTCGGGATAAGCGAAGCAGCCATAGACAATTTTATGATATCTCCGTGGAACGGTACAAAATACCTAAGCTTATCTCAAACGAGCAGTGCATATAGCTGAAACTAGAAATATCAGAAAGAGTGATAAAACTTAATGGCCAGGTATATGGGTGTCCGAAAAAAAATGATTTTCTCTTAAAACAAAAAAAAATGCATCGCTACAGTTAGTTGTAACAATATTGGTATATTAATATATTATGCATGTATAAATATCATTTAATCAATTATACTTGTACAAGTTTTTCTCGTAATGATTTTTTGAGCCAAATGATATTTGGGCGATCGCGAGATAACATTTGCAAAGGAATTTTTAAAATATTCATCGTTTCAATAATTACAACGAAAAAGTAATTTATTTTGAAATGACATGCTAATATCAATATTTGAAAGTAAAAGGAAAACAATAAAATTTTGTAAGCATATTCAAAACGAAATCCAGACAAAAGTAAGTGATGGCAGTAATGAAGCTTTAATATATATAATATATATTTTGATTCGAGTGTTTGATTTTTTATTCACGCATAATTGAAAAATAAGTTCTTTTTAATTGGCCGTTATGTGGATAGTGGTTTTTTGGAGTTTACTGCTTCTGAGATGTCGGCGGGCAAAAACTAGCCAAATGCCTATTATTAACTCGCAAAATCGGCACATTCACGCTCATAATGTACGCATACGTGTAAATGACACCCTCGACATCTCGAGCATCTTTGGACGCGTATGAAAAAATATAAGGAGTAAACAAATATAAAAACAATTTTAAAAAACGAGAGAGATGTGTATGAATTGTCGTAATTACCTTGGCACCGTGCTCGAGGAGCGCCTGCACGGTAGCAAAGCCGATTCCACTGGTACCACCGGTCACAATTGCCACTTTGTTTTTGACGTCCATAATTGTAACCTAATGTATCCCAAACGAAAGCAAGTGCCTATAATACTTCGTTTATATGTATATATTATAGAGATGCCAAGATGAACTTTCCACAGACTATCTGTCATGCACGTGTAAAAAAGTGCCGACAATTATCAATGTCACGTGTATAGTATACATATATATCGATATACGGAAACAAGAGGGCAAGTAAGTACCGATTTTCTGTACTACGATCGAGCGATTAGCTCAAGTATGCGTACAATACAATCCACGGCGATGTCGCGTGCGCTCCGGGCTGCTTCCGCAATCCGACTAATATACAAATTCAAGTTACTTGATTCAAATATATGAATGTACATGTGTGTGTACACGCATAGGTGAAAATATTTATGTGTTGGCTTCTTCGTGGATGATGTGTGGGAAGCAGGGGATCGGCAACGGGGGGAGGGGTGGAGCGGACCGACAAAGTATAGATAGGCCGCTATTGGCCATACTCAACTTACACTTCTTATTATCTGCATGAGAAGCGACGAAAAATTTTCGAAAGCCAGAGGTTACACTGATTAAGTAAATATGTTACGCGCTTGGTGTTGATGACTGAGGGAAGGAGCGCATCTCCGCGCTGATACCAACGAGACTTGCGCGTTAACGCTCGGTTTTACGAAACTGCCATTATTATTATTATTATTATTATTGTTACCACAATTTCATAATTCAAATGTTGTAAATTCTCTTTTCATTATCATTATGTTTTAAACTTGTATTAATATAATCCATTGACTATTTGGTAATGATGTATGCATTCATATATTTTACAATTGTTAGGTATATATACATCGCAAAATAGAGTCTTGCATCGTTAATGTTGTTTGTCTCCTATTGTTTTTTTCATTAATTTGCTTGCGCTATTTTTTTCGAGATCTCCATAAAATCATACTCCACTAACGTTCAAACAAAACGAAAAAAGGTGCATACAAAACAACTTATGCGTACGTCTAATTTACGTATTCACTCGTACTGCCTGAAAAATTATTAACTTTACGGCCCTTGATATATTTTTATACGTACAAGTGTGGTGTACCTACGACTTTTTTTTTTTTTTTTTAACAACTGATATATTACTGTGGTATTACAATCGATATCTGTGAACACACGCTTATGTGGAACAATAGACAAGGTGCTCAGTAAATAATAGAAATATTGAAAATAAAACGATACATGGTAATTTTAGTGAAAGCTTCTTGGTAAGTTTAGTGAGGATATACAAGGCATGTGCTACAAAACAGATAAGTGCCGCGTAATTTTTTTTTATCGATTGATATTTTCTGTCAAACAAATACGTAAAACTTAAAACGCTCGTATCCCGATGTAAATAATAAAGGTATCGAAAAAGAACTGTCCACAGACGCGGAAAAATGTGATTTAAAAAATTTAGTCGGTACGTGACTACAGTGAACATTTCACTGTAAATCTTAGTTTTTAATTTTTTTTCCGCCCTCGGGTGGTTTTGGGAAGCTGGTACTTCCTCGGGCGAAAAAGCAGTTTTCCGATAATCGTTCGAAAAGTCTCCCTTACGAACCTCGTTACGTCCCTCGCCTTCGGCTCGGGCCGCAAACAAAGACTTTTAAAACTCGTAGGAAAACTACTATTAAAAATTTGAGAAAAAGAGGGCTATTGTAGACGGATAAAATATATTTTGCACAATTAATCAACATTTAAAGTATAAAAGATGCCAGTAAGGTAACGTAAAAGCCACACAGATAATATAGCGTATGCGTCAATAATCCATAATTAAACTTACGATCTGAAAGTTTACCATCTCATCGTGGCTATGCGTGTTTTATCTTAGTAATAGTTCTGACTGAGCGTGGCATAAGAGCGAGACCAAGCGATGCAACAGTCAGTTTTAATAATTTTTAAGAGTAGAACCTTACATTATCACTTGAAAAAAGAAATAAGTGTTCTCTCACATGAAATTTTCAATTATTGACGGCAAAAAAATCATAAAAACAGTACAAAGTCATAAATACAACCTAGAGAAAAATTACTTTTATTTGATGATAGTCAAGGGAGATTCGATAGAATTTTAAATGCGTTTCCAGTAATCTAATACTAATTGTGCTCTGATGCATCTGGTGGACAACCATTTCCATGCTTTAAAAGCGAAAGAAAGTCATAAAACAATAAGTATAGAATAACAAATTAATCCAAGAAGTTCCTATCAAATATTTATATTAGCTTAAAACGTCTGGGATTAAAATTAAATTTAAAAAAATAAATGACCTGCTAAGATATTGACTTGCTTTTCTGTTATAATCTTTTGCCGATGATTTTCGATGTGACGATACGCATTGATGAGGTAAACTTAATTTTTTACTTGTACAACTATATATTTATTAAGTAATTGTATTCTTAATGAGAAAAAGGGGAGTTGGCATATACATATTATGTATAACATATGAGTGTCCCCTACCCAACTGATCTTTAATTTAGAGTTTTTACTTATTTTGATTATAGTTTATTCTACTGACTTTTACGCGAACAGAAGGGTTGACGCACGTTATTTTTTTTATCATAAAACAATTGATTTTAGTTCAATATATTGTAGTTTGAGGAAGAAAGGCGAAAATATCTAGATTATGCATCATTCGTTGGACAATGATTTATCATCTAATTTCATCTAATTTCATCTAATAATCTAATCTTGCTGATTTTGGGCATAAATAGTTTTTTTAAATAAGTATCAGGAATGTGCGTCAACTCTTTTTTTTCCCGTGAAATTGTTAGTTATTTGCGGCTGAAAAATCACATCGACCTCATCGATAAGGTAGGAAATTTTAATTTTAAAATATTCTGTACTAACCTTACGTGAAAACACGCGCCATTGCAATCCAAACATCCAAAATCTAAACGTCCGTACGAGTGAACAATTTCGTTATTTTAAGTATTTAGGCTAACAATTAACGAAACGCGTAATATATTTTTGTTTACAAGTTCGAAACATGTAAGTAATCGCCGTCGCGACAAAACTGGTGGTGAGAGAATATCGGCGCGTTTTAGTTGAAACTGTAGTCAAAGTGTTATTCCTCCTGGTAAAATGGAAATATTTACGTTCGACAAGTGCTTCCAGGAGCGGTTAGAAGAATTCACGAATATAATTGTGTCTGGCCGCGAGGACGTTATCCCGGCGACTCAGGTGCGCACCGAATGGATTTATCACGTCGAGCTTGTCGTTGAGCCTGTCGGCTGGCGGGCTCTCTGGAAGATTCCTCGGCTCACCTGCGAGGACTTCAAGATTCACTATCCCACCATTGTAGCGGTAGAGGTTGAAAATGTCGATTATATGGAATTGATGGCGACCGTAAAAATAGTTGCCGTGCAGGATGATGATATTCACCTGCCGGAGCACTACGACGTGCCTCTGATCGAGCTCTATGCCACGAGGGAGCAGGAGAACTCGGTGCTCGACATCCTCGCCACCGCAGAGTGCATTGACAAGCTGAGGTTCTTTTACAATTATCTGTGGATGCCCTGGGACACGGACGACGACGACAACATTGACTGGGTCTCTAATTATCTCGAGGACAGACTGAGACTTTTTTTCGACATGAAGACCGGAGTCGTGTGCAAAAAGACGTGCGACATTATTAGGACTCTTATGCGGGAGGGCAGAGATATCCAGGCTAAACTTGCCAAGCTGGAGTTGGAAATGTCCGATGACGATGACGATGGCGAGGAGACTGATCAGCCAAAAAAATCAATGAACGAGGACAAAGCCTGTCGGGTGATGAAGCTGCACCTACGGCTGCAACAAATTAAGAGTGAATGGGAAATTTTAGAAAATGGTAAAATGCGAGAGGTGCTCGTTAGAAATCAAAATTTCAGTAGTAAGGAGTCCGAGGTCAAAAGGAGAGAGAGTAGAGGTCGAAAAGCAGAGGCACATTTTGTGTGGCTCGGTGGGACTCTTCAAGAAACAATTGAAGCATTAAAATCAGTACAAGACCTTCTTCCATGCAGTATATTTTTAAAGTAATTAGATTCAATGATAATATTAAATGCTTTTGTTTTATTTAATTTTTCCGGGCTAATATCTTACTTGTTTTACAGGACGTTGGACAGCTTACAAGATGCTATTGATACTTCTGATGTTGGAGATATCATAGTAATCGGTAAAGGTGAGCACCAAATAAAAGGTGCAGGTAGCTTAGAAGAAGGTGGGATGTTCAAGGGTCTTTATAAGCCAGAGCAAACCATCATATGTCCTGGAGAAACAGAATGCGGGCCATCGCTGTTGGATTTTTCCGGTAAAGATGTAAGAATCCCATTGGATAATGTAACGAAAAAAATCACAATATTTAAATATCGAATCAATTTATGTATTATTTTACTGCAGGTTCAATTGGAAAATCTAACAATAGATTTAAGAGAACTGCAAGCTGGAATTCTTGTTAGAGAAGGACTGTTGAAATTAACAAATTGTCATATTCTTGCAAATAACGAAAGCGTTACAAAACTAGGAATTGTAGTTTTGTCTGGTGCCAAGTTAATTGCTCAAAAAACTAAGTTTACTGGATTGGGAACCGCAATCGTTGTACATGATTCAGCTGAAACTATTTTGAATGAATGTGTTGTGGATGCTTGTATCGAAGGAATGCAGGTATCAGAAATTTAAAATCAAATGTTAAATTGAATTTTCTTAACATCTCATTTTTTTTACCATTTTTAATTTTTTAGCTTTACAACAAATCCAGGTTTTCAGCAAGTAATTGCTTTTTCACTAATTGCAAGGAATATGGAATTAGAAAAGAAACTGAAAAGGTAAATGATTCCAAAGTACAATCTGGAGATGTGAATGTTCTACAAAACATTTCGGAAGTTACGATTCGTGACTGTAAATTTGACAACAACGCTAAGGGAAACGTCACTTTGAGGCCTCTTGAACGAATGGTAGTTTCATAGAAAAACATTCTGTGAAGCTGCAATTGCTGAAAGTAAGATGATTCTGGTTTTTTTTACCCATAACTTTTTATAAAAAAAAAAAAAATGTAATAAATAATTATTTCAGCTGATTAATGAAATCTAAATACCTTTAAATTCCTTCATCGTTATAACACTTTGAAAATTTACTTCCATCAGTAGATAATTATTAAAATAAATTCATCGTTTCAATACTTACCATCCGGGTTCTGAAATAATAGAATCTTAGTTCAATCACTTGAGGGTGCTACCGGTCACATTAGTCTCGGGGGAATCGTGAATGCTAAAGTCGCTCACCGCTACCACTGTGTGTTGTCCAACCGTAAAGAATAAATATTTATATTGTAAAAGAAAATATTTTATGAAGTTGCTCTTAATTATTAAAAAATTAGTAAGTTTAATCTTTAATTTCGATATTTAGCAAAGCTTTGTGCCCACAAAACTACGTAAATCATAGTAAAAAATTTATAAATTTCGCCGTTTAACCTTAAATATTCACTTTTGGCATTTAGTTCGAAAACGTATACGTACTTACTGGATGTGCTTGGTGCAAAAAAGAGAAATCCAGATTTATGTATGATATGTATCGGTTGATGCTGTAGAATAAATTCTAATATCAAACAATTTTGGTTGCTACTAACACATGTTTCATATCCATCAAAAATGTATTTAAAGCAAACAACTCTGCAGTGTTACAATGTCAACTTTTTTTTTTGAAACGTTTTATGAATGGTTTTCAGTAAAAATATTATTTTGTTAACTATTACATACTCTGTTGGAAGTAATGAGATAGATATATCACAAATAACAATCAATTACTAAATATAGATTTTGAATAATACAATTTTAATTTTTCGCATTAATAATGGGGCCATGTATATTTTAGGCTTTGGAAGAGTTTAACTTTCAAAATATTAAACAGTGCCAAAAGCAAGTTTATCTATTGTCAGTGACAAAGTGGGTTCATTACAAGAAGCAATCAATGCCTGGTTCAGCCATGGTGGAAACTGAAACACCAAGTCAGGTTAGCACTAATCGTGGAACACAATTTGGCAATGCTCGACAGTTGGATCCCTCTGACAGCATTTTTGTCTTCAAGGATACATTCTCAGACTATGAAGAGCCGTCATTGGACAACGACAACGACGACGACAAGGTAATATCCCATATAACTTCATTTATCTGCCACAGAGTATGTATGTATCCAAAGCACCTGCACTGATGGCAAGAACCAACCATGTATTCTGGTAAACTAAACAATGAAACAAGGTATTTTCATATGAAGAAAGTTTTATGCCTTGAATTTGGAATCTTGTCATGAATGCAAAACATCAGTAAATAACGTCAAAATTCACAGAATCATAAACTAAAATGTGAGCCTCTTTCCAAAAGGTTTAACGAATGAGTTGGTATGATAAAAACTGGTGCACGGTAAATTTATTGGTCTGTGTATTTAATTTAGTTTAAAATATGGGTGCAGAAACAAAAATATGCTACAGATTTAGTCCGAGTAAGCTCAAAAAAAGAAACGCTCGAAATTCCGTGGGTTTCAGCAGTCCAATAAAATAAACCATGAGAGAAAAAAGAAGACTAGTTAGCCGTTCAAAAGTAAAAGCACGGGTAATTGGTATTGCCATCGCTCTGGCGTGTAACCAGGCGAAGAAGAGACGGTGCGCGCGATCCCTCTATTAAGCAAACGAGAGAGCGCAAGCGAGACACGGATAATCTGCCACTGCGATCCGTCTAAAAATCAAAATTAAAATCCGTGTAGAGCAAAGGAGCTCCCGACGTTAACTCGATTAGAGGAGGGGCTCTGGCGCACAAAAGGTGGAGTCTCACCAAAGCGCACAATGCTGCCGGTCGTTGAAAATACACCTTGCATGATCAATCACTGCCCCGAGGCGGAAGACACCAGAAGGAGAGGCTCTGCTGCCACTGTCTCGCGCGCTAAACTCTAAAATAAAGTCAGCCGCATCGGTTACCCATGCGTTTGGCATAACACCGTCAACTTTTTTCCAAACCAAGCGGCAATGCATCGAATAACCTCGCGATGAAAATTAAAAATATCATGGCACAAATGACTCCATACGGTTATTCGTGTTGTTAAATGACCCACCGCAGAGCGACCAACCAACTGATTCGCGAGCATTGAATTACATTTAGAACAAAGAGTAGACTCCCTCGGTCAAAGCAACGAGTCTCAGATATCACGGGTGTCTTCTCCAGCGCGCGAGCACTTGCTTTTTATCAAAATGTAATAACCATCGAGTCAACCGTTTGGATTGTAAGATTCATCGAGCCCCGCTAACTTGTCCCGGCGTTGCCTTGGTCCTGATGGGGTTTTACCCCGCGCGGCTATATAAATCAAGCCTCCCCTCGTTCTCTCTGCACCTCTTGACTGTAATGGACGCGCGTCTCTTAGCTGATAAATCTGGCTGGACCAGCTACGCCGGCCGTACTCTCCATAAGCTGCAAAATTAAACAAAGGAAGCGGTCAGTGTTTGTACCCCAGTGCAATAACCCTTAGTAAGATAACACCTTTTTGTTTTCTTTTCAACTCTCAATAACAATTATTTTGGCGTCAAGTATATCGAAATATCTTCCAAAGACATCAGGTTTTCAATGACAAGTTAAATTATTTCAACTAAATTAGTTTTCAAAAGCGCGTATTCGTACAAGGCTAATGAACAACCGCAGGGGGTGGGGAAAGAACTATTACCGGGAGTGAAGACGGGGGTAGGGCAAATATGGGTCAAGCGATCGAGGGCTGCGTGAAGACGTATATATATATATGCATATAAACGTAAAAGCAAGTGAGATGTGGATAAAAGAACACCTACCTATGTGTGTGCGCGAGTGCGCGGAACAAAAGAGAGAGCTCCCGAGGCCTCCTTCTTTTTCCCTTCCTCCGCAGGTATTAGAGGAAGAAGATGCTCTTTCATCGCCTCGCGCCGAAGAGGGCCTCCTGCAACGCTCGCCATTATCCCCCCATTGTCCGCGCACCGCGAAAAGCTCACTCGAGCGTGCCTCCTCAGCCAAGGTAGGAAAGGGTGGGCTCTTGAAAAAGCCTCCCTGCCTATGGCAACTCGAGGTCGACTTTCGTCTTTCGCGGCCAAATGTTTTGTCTCGGCCGCTGAGCCAAATACCTAATACCCCGTACATCCCCACTCGACTGGGTCGCAGCCTGCCCTAACGTACACCATTCGTCGCCTTGAGTAACCTCATATTATAGGTAACGAGCCAGACAAGCTGATAATGAAAGCAGGCAGACACGAGGAAGCGTTCAAAAACTCGTGTGCCTTTTAAATACACGTACACACTAGCAATAGCGCATCAATAACAATTCGAGTACCATTGCCACGCAGTGCAACGTTCGAGCAATGACATTTGATCATCTGTAAAATTATCATTGTTTTAAAATAAAAAAAAATCAATCTCAACTTCTTCACGGGAGATGTCAATTTATGATATAGTAAGTACCTACTTGCTCGTAAAATATACATGACGATTCGCTTAAAATGTCACTTGTTCACCCTTTAATTAATTTCACAATCACGTCTGCCTGTGCTTTTTTTTCGAGCTCATCTCATAATTTTTAGATCGCCGATGGTGTCCAAGGCAAATAGCACCTCTGTTATGTCGATGAGACCATACTTTTTTCATCCTCCACCCCAAGGATGTAATATACTTACCTTATTACCTATTTCAACAGACTGCAGTAGTGCGAGTTTGCAAAACTGGCTCAAACTGATGGCAAAGGGGTACAACAAAAATCCAAAATCTGATGTACATGTATACCCATGGTAGCTCGATCGAGTGTGTGTAAAATTGTGGAAGTGGTGCAATAGAACGGCTGAGTATGGTATGGAAACGGTTGCGTTCAATGCGCTCTTTCTCATGACTGCAGGGTGCTGGTTGCGCGCAAAGGTGAATTTCGCCATGGCGCGGTGTCGACCCATCGCTGTGCCGTACTTTTTTTACCACGCGCAAGCGTGTATACGTTTAACGAGCTCGTTTACACCCTATTAGGTATACCTAGAGTATAAGTAGGTATTACAGCATCGTTTGACCTTTTAATTTGTTACTACAGCAATGTGCACTCGGGGCGGTTTCAGTACGTCACGGATATTCTTTAACGTTCAGTTCTCCGTTGTTTTTTTTTTTTTATTTTTTTTATTTTTTTTAATTTTCTTTTTTATTTACAAATCAATTCTACTGGGGAGATCAACGTATACAAACATTTACATTTCTCCAGCAATGGTACATCCCAATATATGTATAATAGTATTATTGAGAAAAAATGACTGAGAAATCAATCGATAAGACGTGCTCGAATAAAAAGTGGCAACCCGTCGGTGGTAGAATCTCTTTCATCTAATGCATCAGATACATCTACAGCACAAGTAAATATAATTGTAGCGATACAAGTTGTAATCAATCATCAACGAGAATAATTGCCGTCATGCGCATAGTATACGGCTAAACCAAACGCGCGTGCAAGAATATACATTAGTAGGTACACTCGTACTTACTTTTGAGGGTAACTTAAACGAAGATATTCTTCAAACGTGACAAATTTATATTTTTACTCCAAACGAACGCGCAAAATACACATTCCAGAATAAACCTCTAAACTGATTTACTTGCCAACTTTTATGCTCTTGCTAGTCTTGTTTCTGCTGCCTTCGCTTCTGCTACTACTACAACTGTACACTATAAGTAGGCACGCACGCATATGTAATATATGTATATCTATAGATGGGTCGTTCCGACGAAACCTGCACCATTTGCATAAAAATTTGTCATTTTTTCATGTTATTTGTCATCATTATGAAAAATGATCCCAAATTATCTGACCTCCAAAGTATTTTTACCAAAAGTTGCGTCCCATTTTACGGTTTCGGTTGGCCATCGATTACCTACCAATTTCTTGAAAAATGCAAAAATGACAATTTTAACAAGTCAAGTAGTCAACTACTTGGGCCCGATTCAATGATAAAATAAAATACGTACAGAAAAAGACATTTACTTTAATTTACAATGGCTGCGCATTTA